TCTAGGTACAGGTCCTGGTAAAAATTTTCTTACAGACCCACTTTGTATATAAATATCAAAGTAAGGTCTTCTTGGAGCCTACAGACTAAACAAACCCAACTTTGTCTTTTTTTCTTAGGAAATTTGTTCCAGCCCTCTTGGATAATTTTTGTGGGCCTTCTTTAAACCTGCTGTAGCAGGTTAATGTCTTTCTTGCACTGTAGACCTCAGAGCAGGGCATGGTATTCCAGTAAGCATCTCATGATGTAGTGGGAAATAAAGGATCAGAACCATTCCTTTGACTTGCTGGCCAAATTCTTTTGATGCAGCCCAGGATACAGTTGGCTTTCTGGGCTGCAGATGCAGTAATCCAATGATTAATGTTCTAGCACCTTACAGTCCTTTCCATCAGGGCCATTCCCAAGCCCTTCATCCCCCAGCCTAGGAATTGTCACAGCTCTAGTGCCAGAAATTGTATTTGGCCATGTGGAGCATCTTGAGAACCTCATGAGATGGTCCCACTTCTCAGGCCTGTCAAGGTCCATCTCAATGTCACCCCTTTCCTTAAGTGAATCAATTGCACTGCACGGCTTGGTGTCATCCTCAACTTGCAGAAGGCACAGTCAGTCCTATTTCCTGTGTTATTGATGAAGGTCTTGAGTAGTATTGGTCACATTTTACGCTCCTGAGGGACGCTGCTTATTACTGTTTTCCACAGAGGTGTGAAGCCATTGACTCTGGTTTTAGTTTCATTGGCTCTTCAGATGCAGTCATCCTTCCAGTTTCTCATCCATGTAATAACCCATCCTTCAATGAACTATTTCTTTGAGTGGCAAGAATTTTGTGAGGGGTCATATCGAAGACATGCCTCAAAGAAGCCTTAAGTAGATGGTATCTTTTACTCTTCCCATGTCCATGGATATAGTCACTTTTGTAGAAGAATGTGAATATGTTCTTCCAAGTGATTATTTGTTGTCCTGAAATATGTTCTACCCTATAGCTGAAATACTCTTTGGAAAGTACTTACAGAAATTTAAATGTAAGTATTAATTAACAGCTTAGAGGATCTGTTGAGTTTCCTCCTGCCAAATTTGAATTGCTGGTACTGTGGGTTGTACATACAGGGCTTTTGTTTTTTTTAGGATAAGAGAAAAAATGTGATGTGACAGGAGCATAGGCTTGAGTTACTTCCTTTTTTGCAAGGTTATATTTGCAATACTGGTTTTAAGAATACCTTTAAAATTGTTAGGAGGTGCTTGCTCAGAGATGATAATGCTGCTTTTTGTATGCTGAGTTTTGGGTCTTTATGGTTTAGTTATGGAGACACTGGGAAATAAAAACCTGAGGCAATAAAACCAACATCTAAAGAGTACAGTAATATCAGTTTGTAATTCCTTTTCCCCCTTTGCAAATATCAAGAACTTCTGGGTTTGTAACAAAATGGTGGGTGAACTACAGATATTTTAAAAATCACTGCTGTGGCTAATTATCTTAAGTGCAGTCACTTAAGTATGCATCATTGCGCTTTTCTCTACCTTCCCACTTTCCTCTGAAAGTGGACATAGCCTTTGCTCTGCAAGTAATGATAATAATTGGTACTAAGACAGACCTGTTACTCATCCTTTTTTGAGCACATTTCTTATGGCAGATGTCTAGTTTTTAATTAACTGCTAATGAACATGCCTAGTAGACCATGATACTGCTGCCAGCCTACTCCATTTTATATCTCACTGCTGCTAAGCTCCTAAAAGGTTACAGAGCAGGCATTAGTGTCTTTGAAGTGATGGGAAAGTGATTATATGCGTAATATAATTGTTTGTAGGATCTACTATGGCAAATGTTGAGTTACTAAATGCATCTGGTGAACATTGCTGTTATCCCTCCCCCGGTCTTTTATTTTCTTTCTTTGTGTGCAGCACATATTCTTTTTATCCCTTCTACAAAGATAATACAATATGCTTTTAAAATTAAAGTTTTTTAAATAAAACAAATACGAACTTCTAGAAAGGATCATCTTTATGGGTGATCCCTTGTCTCTTAGGGAGAACTTCAAACCTATTATGAATAAATAACACATAAGCAATAAATCAGTATATTAAAGACCTGAACAACAATGAACATCAGATAAAAAACATGAAATCATGAGATAACTTTGGTGACTTAAAAGACCATGATCAGGATTTCAGTTTTAAGTCAGTTTCATGTAGTGCCATATTTACAGATCTTTGTGTACCATGCCCATAAGTAACCATCTGCAAAGCTACAAAAATGTGCAGAGCAGCTTTGCAATGCACTTGCAGCTCTCACGCCACACCTTGCCCATTGCTCCCCACCATTTGTGTGCAGTACCACCAGTGAGCACAGGACACAACCCTTCCACTCTCAGCTTCAGAACCTTTCACAGAGCATTAATCTTTTCCACATTTCTCAGACTTTCATAATGTGCGGTATGTAGGCTACAAACCAGAGCCAGGGAAACGGTAACATGCCCCTAACATTCCTTAAAATGTTAACTTGTGCTTCCTGAAATCAAGTGGGTTAACTTGTTTGCTAATTAAACCAAGCAGGAGAAAGATGAATAAGGGTTATCTTTGTACACTTCCCAAATGGTGGGGACAAGAATGGAAACAATTTAACTCATGTTCCCTGTTTCAACCTTCCGGTGGTCACTGCAAAAGAAGCTAGTTTGAGCTTATTGTTGGAGAAGGGAGGAGGTTTTTCGCCATGAAACAAGTTTGGAAGGAATAAATCACTTTCTATTCTTAGGCAGTTGCACACAAAACTAAGTAATGTGGGGTGATAGTACAGCTGGGGACAAGTAAAACTGGTGCCAGCAATGCTGCACAGTACTGCTGATGGAAGTTGCCTCAGAGCTAGAGTGAAGATGACTGACCTGGCTGAAGTGGTCAGAGAGGAAGGAGGTGAAGAAATCACCATCTCTGAGAGAGGCTGCCAAAATATCAGGTTATCACCTGTTTTGAGAAAATGTGCTGGAAACTACTGAAGTCTTGGTTAAGTGTGGAGAGGGATGTCATATTGCTCTTTAAAGGCTGGATTCAACAAACAAACAAAACCCCCAAACCAAACCTCTGCAGTCCTGTCAGACCTTAAGTAAAGCTTCACTAGCAAAAACTGATTGATACTGTAGAAAATGGTCTACTGTGTTAGCTACTTTAAAATCAAAATTATTCCTAATGCTTCCTTCAAAATGTTGCCTTCTGTAAACACATTAAATTAGAAAAATAAGTTCTCTTTTACCTTGTTTTCTAAACATATTGAAAAGGGTGATGATCAGATGTATGTTTTGAAACATGGCTTCATATGCAGCATTCAAAAATAAATTCCTGATATGTGGTGTGAGAAAGATTTGGTAAATGTGTGGCTTTTTGAATTGACTAAATGGATTGTGGTAATTTAAAGATTGTATTGTAATTCAAGATAAGTAAATGATTACTGCATGACAGTTGGGACAGCAGAAAAGTGAAAAATTGGCAAGTTCAGTGCAGAGTTCTTGAATGTCAACCCCTGTGTCTGCATAATTTTATAAACAGCTCAAGGCATGTCTTGGGATGGGGTTATGAGAAGTAAAAGTGGAGTTCAGTAGTAATATATATAAGTAGTTATAAATAAATTCATTCATATGCCAGTAGATGTTGTACAGGTATTGTTGACAGGTTGTCTTGAAAAGACTTCACACCTAAAGAAATAGATAAAATATTTCTGCATTTTTTTGAGTTGAGGTTTTTTGGTACGATGCGTGAAATATTCTAAGCTGCAGTCCAGGTATGATTTCAGTAGCTGCCAGTAGTAAAAAAAAAAAGCAGTAAAAATTTTATATACTATTAAAGGACCACTAGCAGTCACCTGGTCAAACTTGAGTTCATTCTGTTGAGACATATGTCAATTTTGTCTCCTTTTTGATCCCATGAATTGGATGGCACTCTAGCTTTTTCCTGTATCTGCCTTGAACAGAGGGATAGTGGAGAGTTGGCCAAGGTGGAGACAATTGTTCTATCTTCTATTAATATGCCCAGACAGAGGAAGCAGGAGAGAAAGGCAGAATACCTGTTAACCTGGAGCAGATTATGGGAGCTATGACTAAATTAAAGGTCTTTTGAAGATTCATTTTCTAAAAAAAAAACTGTGCTAAGCATTTAGGCAAATTAAATGGATAGCTGAACTTGGTAAACATTAATAAACCATGGCAACTTTAACTAGAAAATATCTTAATATTTAAACTGTGAGAAGACATTCTAATATAGAAACTGTTTCTACATTTACATACAGATTATTTTAGCAGATTGGTTACAGGGGTTTATGTCTATTCATTTTATGATTTTGATCTTGCAAGCTCCTTTAAACAGGTATTCATAATATCATGTTTCTTTTTAAGAATTCCATGCTATCTAAAATACCTGATTTTCAGCTCAAAGCTGGCTCCTAACAGAGTATTAAGTCAAGATAATTTCCCCCCTTTCCCTTAAAAACCCTGGCTAGAATAAAAAGCAAATTAAGCTTTACTAAATATGAAATTCATCATATCTTTTACATTCTTGAATATTCAGGATAGGAATGGTACTTGCTGCTTCCAAACTGAAGGAAGAGAGGGATGTAGTTTAAATTATTCTTGCCCCTGGAACTGGTTTTTTTTTGCCAGAGCAGTGATACAGCTTTCTCTAGAAAGGGAAGGTGTTTTGATGTTCTGCTGCTGTTCTTTGTTGCCAGAGACGCTGTGGCAGGCAGTAGCTGCCCAATACAACCTATAGTTGCTGAACTTATGCATCAGTCTGCAAACAAGTACCCAGCAGCTTTTCTGGGACATGAGCAAGTTATCCTCAGACAGCATGATAAAATGCAGTGTATATAGTATGGTGAGTTAAAGGTGGGCTAGATTAAGAGGAAACAAATAATGTCAAAATCCGCTATAGATTCTCAATAATTAACCAAACTTCTACTTTATTCCTTCCCAAACTATGTGCTGTACGTTGTTCTTCTGGGGATGATGATACCACTGGGAACAGCAGCAGCAGTTGCAGGCTCAGCATCTCTCCCATGGCCATGGACCTCCAGTGCCTCTAACGCCACATCCTTCAGGACTTCAGCCTCCAGGAATCCCTTCCACTTGGAAGCAGTGCTGGCCTTCTTGCGCTCTCCAGTGCTTTGGGTGGGCAGTCTCATTTGGCAATAAAAGATGACAAGAAGCATCACGATGCAGACCACCACAGAGGTGAGAGGCATGGCAGCCTGATTAGGACGTTGTCATATTTGCACATTGCTGCAAATTATGTGCATTCTCTAAAGAATTCAAGTTATATAGAATGAAAAAAAAACTGTTGGCAAAACTTAAAAGTCTGCATATAAACCACTGAAGCAAAATTCAGCTTGAATTTTTCAATATTTTAAAGGGGATCACTAGGTGTCACCTGCTCTGTACTTTGCAGGGCGTTTTGACATCCTGGTAAATGCTTAGTTGTAATAGCAGTGGCCTGCACCATATTGTGGAAAAATTGTTAAACTGCATAATGGGGATTTTTTCAAAGAAAGTAATGTGTTAATGGGTGGGTGGGAAGCTAGGGGAACAAGAATTTAAATTTTGAAGTAGTGTGTTCAAACAAAGATTTAGATAATTGCATATGTTACTTAAGTTTCATAATCTAAAATTCTAGTACTCATATTGGGGCAAAATTGCAACTTGACTAATTTTTGAAAAGAAAATAATTTATTCTGTCATGAAATAAAACTAGGCTTTGTGTATGGTTAAACTGTAAATCATGTTTACAAATACTGTAATTTTCAGGCAATCACTGTATTAGGAATGTGCAATGACTTATATAAATAAAGGCATTTTCAAACTGTTGTGGCTTGTGTTCTAATTTTTTCCCCCCTTTTTATTTCTGTTCTTGCCTCTGTGTCTGAAACGGGCATGTCTGTTCCATTTCTTGGTTACTGCGGGAGCAGACAGAGAGCCAGGCACAGTAAGTACCAACATTCCTGCTAATGTTTCCATTTCCAATAATGTAATAATCAGATGATGTGCTGTTTGTCTGGTTTTGTCTTCCTTTTAGTTATTTTCATGATGCAAGTGTATGTATTTTCTGTTAAGATATGTCTTGATTTATGCAGAACACCAGATCATTTGTTTTGATGAACTGGTATGGAGGAGTCTTGTTCTGAGCAGAATGCTTTTAGGTAAACTTGAACTTTACCTTGTTCTTTTAGGGCAGAAATGGGGCATAGAAGCTGCAACTCAAAAGGATATTCGCAAATACTGGCAGTTTTAGTTCAGAGTTAAGATTTCTAGTCTGTAGGATTTCAGGTATCAGAGTTGGAGAACAGGTGAGAAATTCCAAATGTGAGAATTTTTAAATGTGGTCTATGATCGATGGTTGGCCCTAGGAGGTTTTTTTTACTGGGGCATCTGTTTAAGCCGATACTAATGATAATTACTGCTTAATTTGTGCTTCAGGTATAACTCCTACAGTGATACTTTTTTCCATTGTAGATATAAGCTTAATAGAATTGGCCCTTGTCTGAAAAACACTGTGTCGTGGTTTGACACACTGTAAAGAACTACTTGCTGCTTTTCATGCTTTATTTTCATGTTTTATTTTGAGTGAAATTGCTGTATTAATCTGTTAGAGACGGTCATGTGCAACTTAATTCAAGTAACAAAGCTCATTCTGTTTATGTCAGAGGTGAATTTGGGCTCTATTTTGTTCCTTTCCTCAATTACAAAAGAAAAGAACTAGAAGAAGTTATTTGACAGATAGCTGTACAGTACTAAACTTCTGACTTTTATTGCTGCTTATTTAATATATATACAAGGCTTGCTTGACAGTTATTTACTGGAAACTATCTGCATATCTTTTGCTGCAGTCTTTTAGTTTTAGATTACTAAGCAAGAAGCATTCATTTCAGCTTGCTTAATGTTATTAATGACAGTGTATCTGCAGAAATAATTTTAAGCTGGGTTTTTATGAAGTCTCTGACATATTAAGGGCTTTTTGCTCTGTGTGGGACATACTTCTTTAAGTGCTGTTAGTTGCCTGTAGGAATCCCTAGCTAGTGATGGCTCTGTGTTTTGATTTGATTGTTACGTTTCCTGTCCTTGCCCTGGTCCCAGCCGCCCCTGCCCTGTCTGTCATGTAATTTGGTTTAATTAGTTTTAATTTTAAGTACTTTTGGTTAACAATTTGAATTTAAGATCAGGTGCTCAGTATTGTGAAATTTGGACTCTGAATTAATCTTGTAGCTGAGAATAGTTCTTGCCTGTGGAAGGAAAACTATCAGAAATTAAACCTCACTTTTGGGTTGTAGGAGAGTTGCAGGATCGCTTGCTTAGTTCACTACAGATGTAAATTTTGATTAAACTTTGTAAAATTGTACTGCAATTGTTTCTGTATCCATATATCTAACTGATGATTGCTTGCTTATTGCTTGAAGCAGACTGTTTTTATGCTGCTTTTATCAGTAATTAACTTTTAAATAATCTGAGGCTTTATATCATAAAGGAATTTTGCCATGTGGATATATTGAGTTTTGAATACTACACTATGGTCATTCTAGTTTGGTTTTGTTTTTTGTCTCAGTGCAGGATAATACTGCATAGCTAACTTAAACTTTAATAGCTGAATACAGGTGAACTTGAATCTAAAATTGCTTAAATACATTGTTACATGAAAATCTTGACTTAACAGTAAAGGACACCTTCAATGAAAAAATAATTCAAGAAATAGTTATGTTCAACTCTGTGGCTAAATTGATCATCTGAGGATTATGGGCTCTTCAAACTTCTCTAGTTCTCTTGTATTTTTAATGGAATCTTCTTTTAATGTAAAATGCATTGTTAAGGTTAATAGGAAATGGGTCCCAAGTACACAAGGGATAGCAGCAGGTCACTTTGGTTATTATGTGTGATTGAAATCACTTTATAACATCTGGATCATCAAGATAAAATCAATTTGATTTTCAGAATAACATTTTAAAAGTAATGGTGCTGCTAAAAATCCTGACAGGCATGCTTTCACCATCCAAGACACCAAACCCCAGGCTGTTTGTAAGTTACCTAAATTTGCCATGATGTTTTGTGTTACTGTGCGGTTCTACAGTATGATTTCTATCAAATATGTCTAGCATGACCTTCAACCACTATTAGTAGAAAGCTAACAGTTTGAAATGTCAGTTTGAAAAGTTAAAATATAATGCCTGTCTATGGGGTTTTAAATTGAGTTTTTGTGACATAACTTTGGGTTAAAGTGTACTGTGACAGATTGGAGTATATTAATTTTTTTAAAGTCTCCTTAGATAAGCAGCAATGAGCTTTTATGTATTGTATGTGTAGAAATACACCAAAATTAGCGAAATTATTGTATTTATAAATTAATATACAGACATGGTTTAATTGTTTTTCATTTTGACCAGTTTAGCTTCTTTTGTTATATCTAAATAGCAAGGGCTATGTTTTTCTTTTGTATATTAGCTCCAGTTTCAGAAAGTAAAATGAAGAAAAGTTTTTTTTTGTAAATGCATGTTTGTGTAATGAGTAACATGTAAGTTAGTAATAATAGTATACTTCCTACATGAATGCTGTAACTATGTTGTCAGGTTTAAATTTCATGCCTACTGGGTAAGAGCAGGTGGGTTTTGGCTGATTAATCTCTTAACCATACCAAACTGGGTCATGTTACTGTGCAAATGCAGGCATCCCTTCTAATATGGCAAATTCTGGCTGCAGATAGTGAAGCCAGGCAAAGAAAGCAAGTTTCGCAACTGAAACTAAAAGCTTTGAGAGATAGCAATGTAAAAGAACTTTGATGTCTGCATTTTTTTCTTTAGGAAGCATGCTTGAAGCAGTTTTCAAACTTGTAGGTGTTAATTTACTATTCTAGTATCCTGTTGGGACAGCACAGAAATGCAAATGTTTTGATGCACTCTGTTTTAACAGTAGTAATTTTTGGCCAGTGTAATCTTATTTCATTGTGTACTTAGCATTTACATTAGTTGGTATTTATCTTTTGTCCTCATGAAAAATACTGAGCTTCCTAGGTCCTAAGACGTAGGAAGTATTCATAAATTTTCACAGACATTTTTTTGCCTTCCTTATTGAGTAAATATTGCTATTTGTTTGTAAAGCAAGTACTCTTTTCCTGCAGAAGGAAAATATTCTATGCCCTGAGCTCTCTCAGTCTTAGAGAAGGTTGACATGAACAACTGAGTACTACTTTTTGGAAGATATTACATGCAAGCTGTTTTTGTTTTGTGTTTTAATTCTTTTAATGGGAGAAGAAATTCATAGAAATTGTTATATGGGAGTTTAGAGTACTGATCAGCATACCACAAGTTTGTTTCTTGAACTTTTTGAAGAAAGAATGTCTCCGGACATTGCTCATGTGTATAGCTCTGGGTTGCTATGGTTGCAGTTTAGTTTGTAGCTGATAAAAGGCAACATAAGTTTGATGACAAAGGACAATGGGGTTGAGGTGGTCTGGTAAAAATTTTTATGGATACCTTGATTTTGACAAATAGTAGCTCAAAAATACTGAAATCAACTTATGCCTTGTTAATGTCTTCTGATTGTAAAATCAATATAAATTAAAATGGTGCCTGAAAAAAAGATGAGGTCAAGTAGCTTTCCTTCAGGAGTAATTTGATGCAAAACCTACTGACTTCATAAGTCAGCTTTTGGGTTTTTGACATGCGTGTTTGCAATAAGCATATTGAACAAACTGAAGTTAATGATTCTGGAGTAGAACAGCTTTCAGTGCAATCTTCTTTTGCCTGTCTGGGGGCTTTTAAAGTCCATCTTCCAGCATCTACTCCATTCCTGTCAGTCCTAGCAAAGAGCAACTGATGTTTTGGGTGTAGTTGTTAGACTTGATCCTATTTTGCCTGCTCAGCAAGGAATTGCACCTGTTCCTGTCTATTTGTGCATATCTGTAGATAGCACCCGTGTGTGGTGCAGTGGCAAAGCAGAGGTCCCGTGCATGGTTAAATAAAGTAAACACAGAAGCTCTACTGAGCACCGCAGGCAATCCCAGGTTGTTAGCTGTGGTGAGTGGCTGTGATGGCTGGTGGCTGTCGGCTGTCTTTGGCACAGATGTACAGCCAGTCAGGGAATGACCAAGCACAGAGCAAGTCTACGTGTGTGCACGTCTTTGGGGAAAAGGGGAACAAGAGGACTAAGGAGCCCAGCGCTAGAGAACATCTTAATTGGGACTAGGTGCAGTTGAACCATGTGCACAGATGTAATGTAAATACTGTTATTTAATTGATGTAATGATTAGCATAAAGTCACTTGTCAGTTCTCTATGTACTATTCTGTATGAATTGTCTGTGCTGTATTGTAAGTGGGATAATGGAATAAATGTGATACTCTCAGCCTGCACCTCTGGCAAACATAGTTGAGGTTTGGAAGTGGTTCCTGTGGGGAGCAGCGTGGCAGTCAAAGAGGTGTATTTGAATAATGTGCGTTATATTCCTAGTAGGGAACCTGCCTTCTTTCTGTGCATCAGGACTAGGTTTTTGTTTCACATTTGCCTTCTGGTGGTTTTACTAGTTAACTTTTTCTGGCAGCAGACTTACTTTAGGATCACAAATTGCTTGTTGTACAGCATTTATGTGGTCTGGTATTTCTGACAGGAAAACACATGAAACTTGCTCTGATCTGAGCTTCATGATTCATAAATGTTGCATTGGTAATCCTTAATAAACTGAACTCTTAAGTATGAAAGGAGTATCCTCAGTCACTTATCTAATCTGTTGAAATTAAGACAAAATAAAAATTGGCACTGTTCAGTTTCTCTTTAGGATATAAACTCTGCCTGTATCTTTTTGCCCTTTTTGCATAAGCTTAATCATTATTGAAGATATATCCCAGCTGAAATTTTCTATAGAGTTATTTAAAAAACTGTAGCCAAATTAAAAATTCTTGTCCCACTTTTGAAAATAAGTCACTTGTTAGTAGACCTAGTTAGGAGAACTAAACAGATTACTCTTCTAAATAGAAGATAAGAAAACTCTGATGTTGAAGCTGTTGCTGATGTCTTCTGGCTGGCCCTGTTTGATAGTGGACATACAGCATGTATAAACTCTGCCAGAGGTAAAATGAGGAAAGGTGGCTCTTCCTATGCTGTTCTCACTGTTCTCTGAACTTTGACATTACAAGGGTGAGAGATATTAATAGTCCAAGGCTTATATGATCATTTCTTTACCAGTTCTTGTTTGTATTTTCATTTATTTAATTTGTTTTTCAATGTTCTTGATTTACTATTTGCACTATTTTAAAATATTCATTTTTTTCACATTTGTTAAATTAAATCTTACATATTTGGTAGTTTGAATTATGTAGTAGTTTACAATAGCAAGCTGTTTTTCCTTTACCTGATTTTAGTCACAGTTGTTAGAACTTTCTTGAATATCTATGGGAAACAAAGCAGGAACTTCTTAATTTTTGAGTTTACTCATAGATTTTGCCATTAAAAAAGCACAGTCTTATCTGCAATTTCTGATGTAGCTGTTGGGAAATGAGCTGCTCTACAACAGCTTCCTAGCATGGATGCTCTGATGACAGGGAACAGTGGTTTAAATTAATGTGGTAAGTCATAGAAAGGTTGTGTAAATATGACATATGGGGATATGTTTTGCAGAATAAGCTTGTGATATAATTACATGTTTTTGTGAGAAACCATTAGTCTTTTGGAGAAAAAATAAAGCTTATAATCTTTGTTTAGTGTTTAGGACAGAGTGGGAGTTGAGATTTCATACACTACAATTCACAGTTTTGAAATTCTCCAAGACCAACAGTACAAAATATTGTCAGCATTGTCTAGGTAGACTAAATTTAAAAAGAAAAAAAAAATCAGCAATTGTAGTTATTACTGTAGGTTGCCTAATCTTACAGGCTGTAACTCCAAATAGCAAGTTTGCTAAATTTTTTCCAGATGTTGCCTCTTTGCTACCTTTCTGCTATTCACACTTTTTTTTTTTTTAATTAAAGTGAGGAACTGACTTTATTCTCTTTACTGCGTTTGCTTTAATTGTTTTAATCTCAATTCTTCAGTAGAAAAATATATACTTTTAGTTATTTTTATTCAGGAAATTATCTCTTAACCAAAAGACTTTCTTCCTTAAGAGGAAAACACCTCTGGTTAAGTTTCAGTTGATCTCTTGCGTCTTAAGGTGTTTCTACTGCTTCTTCAGATGTTTCTACTGCTAATGCTGTTTCTAAGCATGATGGTTTTAACATTAAAATATTGAAAATCAGTTTTAATGGTTTTCAGACTAGTGAATGAATCCCTGAATTTGTGTCCATCTGGGAGGAGATAAGGGGCTAAATTCCAAATGTATTTGTCAAGGCAATTAGTTCAATGATCCAACAAGCCCACCTTTTAGCCACAAAACATTTTGGTAAAGACATTATTTTGAGCTTCTTTATACTGAATTTCAATAGACTCTCCTATATGCTTTATGTAAGCCCTTTGGCATTTGTTTAGCTTGAATAGTCATGAATAAAAGAGCTTAGAGTTGGCTTTAAAGTGCAGCTTCTGAATTACGAAAAAGAGGATTCAGATTGCCTTATGTACCCTGTTTCCTTGTCCTTCTCCTTGGGGCTAAACATTTGTGTCTGAGCAAAACTATCTTGATGTCTTCAGGTTTTAAAGGGGAAGCTATTCAGTGCACAGTTCACTGGCTATTTGTATGAGTTTATGATATATGACAAGTAAATATCTCTGTCTCTTGGGTAGATCTAAATACGTGCTTTGAGGGCTTACACTGAAGTTCATGTTGGTATTAGACTTCTCTCTCTCAAGAGATACATGTATGGATGTAAATACGTGTTTACTTATAGATTTATGTGAGCCTATCTTTATTTATCTAAGCATGTACTTGGCTTTTAGGATCTAGGCTTACCAGTTCTTTGTGAAAGGAGATTTTTTTCTCAACCCATTCAGTATTGTTCACAGCATTAACACATCAGTGAACAAATTGCCCTCTTGCATATGCTAATCCTGCACTTAAAAGAACTCATTGTAACACATTTTAATGCTTTAGCTGGAACTGAGATGGAGATGGGAATCAGGAATCACAGGCATATCAAATTGTCATGTGACTGAAAAATGTCTAAAATGCTCTTTGGGTCAACAGTTTGTTTTTAGCATAACTTAGCATCAATGAAAGCAGTCCATGTAGTTTGAGGAAAAGATTAGTCTTTGCTTTTGTCTTTTGTGTGCCTGTGTTGGCCTCAGTTTTTCAGATCAAGTCTGATTAAGCAACACTTTAGCCTTAATTTCACACTAGTAGTGAAAGTAAAAATATTTGATCTTTGTTTGCAATACATTTGTTGAAGGAATCCAATTGGAGTTTACTCCAGCTAACAATTGATTACTGCATAACCGTATTCAGCATATACTTGTTATTTTAGGCATTAAAGGCAAGCTGCTGTTTATCTGTCCATACCTGCAGGTGTACATACCAAAGCCTCATCTATTTATGATGTTCTAAAAGTGACTGATCAATCAGATTGTGTAGTAAATATTTTTATTATATGTAATCTGAGCATTAAAAAAAAATAAAATCGTTTTTACTTGCTCATGAATAAACTGTAAGCCTGCTTCTTCTCCTAAACAATAAATTCAGTTGAATTAATTAGTTAAATAGATGGTGACTGACAAGTGAACTAAACTTTTGATAAGTTGGACAATGAAAAGCCAAGCTTCTTAGAATTTGTGAAGCTGTACATGTTTGCCTGGAGGACTTTGTTTTGAATTAAATTGAATTAAAAGAATAAGTACGTATAATTTTTTAAAACATCTATCACACCAGTTTGAATTTTTAGGAATATATGGAGGGATCCTAAAAAGAATTTTTGATTGACCTTGTGTTTTGTCTTTACAGAGTAATTCTCTGTTGGTCCCTGACAGTCTACGAAGCACAGATAAACGCAGGAATGGCCCTGACTATGCCAATGACATCAAAAAGAGAAAGGTGGATGATAAGGATTCCAGCCACTATGTAAGCAAATCTGTGTCAAGGAAATGATTAATTTATTTGCACATACTGTGCTTGTATGAGGGGTAAAAGAGCTGTGAAGAGCAAGGCAACTTTTGTATGGCTGAAGTAGTACATGAATATATGTGCTAGAGAGGCACAAGATTCAAATTTTGGAAAGAGTAGTGACTCAGTAGTTTGGGATATTGTGAAGTAATAGTCCTCAGTAGGAGTAGCTGTTTGGGATTCACGTGTGCTCTGGGGTATTTTTCAGAGTTTTAGTGACATTCTTGCTGGACACCTCAAGAAACTGCAGGTTTGTTTGAAATGGAGGATTTTGTTATTGAGAGGAGTTTGGTAAATTTTAATCATAAGTAGTTATTACCATGCTGAGTTATAATTATCATTACAAATTGCATATGCTGTCAAACTGTATCAACTTACTGAATTTTACTTCTGGCTGATAAGGCAATTTCAGCAGAAAGCAAATTGAAATATTGGAAGTTCAGAGTTTTGTGTTCTGCATTTTTAACTAGCTTGCTTGTTGCTTGGCTTTAAAGAGACACTTCAGTGCAACAATGTGTGTGAACATCAGAAGGTTCACACAGGCTTTTGACTTCAAGTCTAAATTCTCAGCCAAAACACAGGATAGTACTTAAACAGGCCCAAGAGACTAGGATTGGTGTGAGAGAGTACTGAAAAGCAAAATTCAAATCTATTAGAACATACTGTACTTTGATGTAGCAATAATGTGGCAAATTGTCTGGTTTATGTGATTCAGATCACTAATTAAACCTAAGAGAAAATTAGGTGCCATTTTATGTTCTCAGTATTTGGTAGGGTAATTTTAATTTCTCTCCACTTGAATAATATCTTTGAGCAGCTATTAGATATTTTAGTGCTGTTAATGGTTTTACAAGCTGTATTTCCACCACTTTCTAATAACAATGTTTTAATTTACAGAAGGGTTTGGCAAACTTCCCTCAACTTTAAGAATTTGATACTTTATTGGCATTTTTTATTTTAAGTATTTGGAGATTAAGTATTCTTAAACTATGCTTGATATAAAAAGGAAGGAAAAGTTTAACTTGTGTTCTGTTTCTACCATAAAGAAATGTAAAGGATGCTATTGCACAGTAGAAGCAGTCTTTAATCCACATTTTAAGTGTGTTTCTGCCCTCTATTTGGAATGGATTTTATAGCTAAAGGCAGCATCAAGTTAAAAAATGGCGCAAAACAAGGATATTTGAAAGTTCCAGATTTATTCTGGAACTTTCAAATATCCTTGTTTTGCGCCGTTGAAGATGATTTTTTTGAAGGTCCACCGATTAAGCAAATACAGATCTGCTGATTTTGAGCTTATTTTAGAGGAATCCCTTGTAAGGACAAGGGAATACTTGTGTCAAAAAGGACATAAATGAGTTGTAGGACCTGTAGCTTTTGGAATAAGAATAAAAAGTGAATTTTTTTCCCTTTTTTAACTTTTGACTAATTTTCATATTAGTACCTATGTAGTTTCACTGCATGAATTTATTAGTGAGGAGACTCTTCTGACATTAGAAGTTACTGGAGATGCCTTTGATAGTCCCAGGAAGTTTCTTTTTATTAAGATGACAAAGTTGCTAGGGTTCACATAAACATTGCATTGCAACTAATTTTGTCCTCCTTCAGAGGGGCGTTTCTGGCAAACAAGTGTCCCTTCTCCCATAGTATCCCACATTCTCCCACCTGTTCTAGCACTCTGGGTTCTTCATACTTTTCCAGAGGTGGCAGAAAAATTGAGCTAAGCTGTTACTGTCCTTTGTTTTGACCTTTTGATTTGATAGCTTCCTGAGTAGCAAATAGAGTGACCATTCTGTGTCCAGTGGTGCTCTTGGATCCCTAATATATTAGTGTTATTTCTTGAAGCAAAATTCAGCTGTTAACAGAAGAGAAAGGTTGAAACTACCTGTTGGTTAAGGAGTATTTTTCAATTGGATTTTGGGGGGTTTTTTTTGGTTGGTTGGTTGGTTTTGGGTTTTTTTGTTTGGTTGATTTCGGGTGGCTTGGTTTTGGTTGGGTTTTTTTTTAAGCATTGTGGCCTGAAATGAAAGTAGGTATTTAGTGTTATGTGTGAAAGCTCAGGCATTTTGAAAGCAAGAGATGGAGGACAGTTGGGCAATCTTGTATGTTCTGTTTGTTTGCATAGAAGCTTTTTAGCTAAAAGTAGTTTTACTGGAAATACCAAACTTGCTGCTACAAAAATTTAAAGTTTTGACATTCACTTCATTTCTTTGTTTAATTTTGAGTCAAGATTTGCCTTCTCATTGATACACTCTGGGGTGCTGTGGAAATCACTAGACCTCTGTATCAGAGTGTGTCTACTGGGGCATCCTGGCCCCTGTTGGAAGGAGGGACCAGGAGGCACTACAGTAACAGCAATCATTTGTAGACCAGCTCAGGTGAACATCAATCTAAATAAATGTCAAAATGCAGTTTGACAAGCTGCAGTAGAAAATTTCTGTTTAGAAACATCCATGTATTTTGCTTTTCTTGGGCAGAAATGTTGAAATTCCTTGGCATTTCTGAAGGTTTTTCTTCCCAGAACTTTTGATTTCAAAACTTGCCTTTTTGAAAAAAGGGAAAAAATGGTATTATCACATTAAGGAAGATGATTCATCAAACATGCTAAAAAGCTTCATTTTCCTGAGATCTGTTTTTTGGTGTTTTTCCAGGCATGCATAAACAGTACTTCCTCTAAATTAAGATTTGTGTATGAACAGAGTATTAACTACTTTTAGGAGTAGTGATAACACTGTTTATGATGGTAATAAAGGAGGGGTTTGGACCATCCTGCGCTGGTGGCGAGATCCCCATTTTTCAACTAGTTCTACCTTACTTGGGTTTTACTGTTACAGCAGAAATAAGGTGTTGTGTTTCTGTTTTAATTATTCTCCCTACTTCTAATAACTTAATAAAAGGCTGTTTGTTTTTTGTTTAGGAAAAACAAAAAAATGTCTGAGTAGATGCATAGTCTTTCTGTCTGGGCTCTTATTGTACTGATTGAAATGAACACTATATTTATTTATTTTTAATAGGACAGTGATGGGGACAAGAGTGACGATAACTTGGTTGTAGATGTATCCAATGAGGTAACTTTTTTCATTTTTGTAGTCTTGACATTTGCCCAAAGGTGAAAGGAAAAGTACATTTAGTTGTTAGAAGAAAAACAATCCTTTGTGGATATGTTAAAATATTCACAACTTCTCCTTTTTATTAGTACTATGTCTTCCTCTGAGCCTTATCTGGTTGCCAATCTCAGTTTTTCCTTCTGCTGCTTTGCCCCAGGTCCGTTCTCTCTGCAGCTAACATTTTGACATTTCCCAGCTGCTCTGTAGTGTAGAGGGTTGTGGTGAACTGCATGTGGACAGCTGAGGTTTTCAAATTCCTGTCTTTGAATGAAAAAGGAAGACATTATCTAAAGTTGTATTACACAGTAGGATTGTTATTAAAAAAATTACCTTAAAAATTGCTTGTATTTAAATCTCCTACATTAAAGACATTTTCCAGAAATGCTGTTTTTTCTAGAATGAAGTTAGTTTACAAGATTTTCCAGAGATTGTAGACAACGTTTTTCTCCAGGGCTGAGATTTGGTAATGGCATCAAGGTAATGGGATGAGTGCTCCCTTTTCTTCATCTTTTATTTTATATAACAGACAGATTTAGGAAGCCTGAATATGGTAGTGAGGTTCTTCAGATCTGTGAAAAGCACACAAAGAGGAGCTGGTAGAGAGAGAAGTGCCCTCAGTAGCCTGAGGTGCCCAAACAATGTCAGCCAAGTAGAAAAATGGGTGTCCAACTAGTGATTTTAGTAATCCTTTCAGAAGGTCGCCTTACAATGAACTGCTTAATAATCAGCCAGTAGACTTACTGCCCTTTTGTGAGGTGTGATTTCTCCCTGGTGCTATTCTTATGAGCCAGAGGAGCATGGAGAACCTGCAGAGCTCTGATAGCATTGTAACTCATGGGGTTGGCTATTTCAAGTAAAAGTAAATGCTGAGAGTGCCTTTGGAACAGAGAAAAATAATCACCTGAAGGGTGATTTCAGTTTTCCTTTAGATGTAAGTGGCAATGCAATTACAGATGGTGTTTAGCAAAAATGTGACAGCTATTATGGCATATAAAGATCCCTATGTGGGCCATTCCACTTAAGAGTTGGACTCGATGATCCTTGTGAGTCTCTTCCAACTCAGAATACTCTGTGAAATCTGTGAAGGCATGAGTCTGCCTCTTCTTCTGAAGGTAGAGATAAGCAAGGGTTTTATCATCTATAAGAGGTTATTGAAATGTTTATTGCAACTAGCAGAGCATGGAGAACGTACATGATAAAAACTGTGTCAGGTTACTGCAGTTTCTCTTGGTCTTCCTTGCTTTTACCACGTTTTCCACACTTGCTTTAGTTTGTACTTAGGAATCCTTGGAGGCTCTGTCCTTAAGAACAAGTTATTATTACAGTGTAAAATAAAAACAGATTGCTTATTATATGACTTTATGTACTTCTCTAGGCTGATGAAGGGATTTCAGCCTTTTTTCTACAAAGATAGCAAAAAGTCTTGTCATTTGCACTTACTGTTTAAATTCTTTTAGTTTGGTGAGGATTTTTTGGTTTATTTCTTCCATAGACTCCTTAGTGGTGTTTGTATACCGGTTTATGACACAGTTCTACGCTGTTCTTCCCTTCCCATTGTTTTAGGATCCTTCTTCCCCAAGGGCAAGTCCTGCTCACTCACCACGTGAGAATGGTATCGATAAAGCCCGCCTACTGAAGAAGGATGCCTCCAGTAGTCCAGCATCTACAGCCTCTTCAGGAAGTTCCACTTCCCTGAAATCCAAGGAAATGGGTCTGGTAGGTAGCAGTCAGTGGTCCAGTTAGTCTTCTTTCATGTAAAATCTGACTCTCCACTATTCTGCATCTACTTGGCACAAATTACCTCTCATTAAACATTTGAGGCTGAAATTGCCTACTGTTTTTCCAAATCTTTGAAGTATTATTGAGCTTTCTTCCTCAGCAGTATTTTCTGCCTTGTTTTGATTTCCTGTATTTCCTACATTTCTGTCAAATGAGTTGCAAATCTATTACAAGGAACAAGTGTGACTTAAGCATTTGTGTGGTGGTTTTTCTGGAAGTAATAACTTACGGTTTAACATGGCCTGTGAATAGTCACTAAGAAATTCTTCAGATTTTTTTGTTAAACTCTTCTAAATAGGCTGTTATTCCTTGGAGGCTTTTTCTTGTAGTATCACTAATAATTTGTTCTGATTCTCTGTGTCATGTTTTTTTTTTATATATTATCAGCTATGGTAGTATTTTGGTTTTGCAGTTAGACTTTCTGTGTCAAATAATAATTGAGATATTAATGATTTCAAACTAAAGTGGTTTGGTAATGCATGCTGTATTTTCCTGAAGAAAAAATTAGCTCAGGCATTCCTTTTTATATGTCAGTAGAAGAGGGAAAATAACTTTCTATGTTTCTTATTTTAATCTTGGCAGTAATCAAAAAGGTCAGCATTTCTCTCTCACGAGTTAATGTTGTCAGCATTGTGTGGATTTATGAAAATTGGCTAAGGGACTAGGTAGTAGGTGCCCAGCATCCCAGCTGCTGTTGTGATAAATTGTATAATATGGCCTGGATTAAAAATAATACTCATTTAATTTGTTTAATGATACCAGCATGAAAAAGCCAGCACGCCTGTTCTGAAATCCAGCACACCAACTCCTCGAGGTGATGTGCCAACCCCAGGCACTAGTGCAACTCCAGGACTACGTCCAGGCCTTGGCAAACCTCCAGCAATGGACCCTCTGGTTAACCAAGCTGGTAAATGCATTACCTCATGGTTTTTTATGGTTCCAAAATTAATCTATTTTTTACACATGTGACTGTTAACTAAATATATTGCTTTGTTCTTGATATCAAGAGAGGGCTTGATGAGAAGCAGATGTTTGGATTATCAGGAGTTTGAATATCTTTCTGTCTCTTAGTATTCTTTGTTTACTTTTGTATTTATCTTTTTTTGCAAATAATCCAGAGACCAAATGTAATATAAAAAGACTTCTCAGAAGTTTCTGGTACTTATTCTGCATGCAATCTCTTCTACAGTCTTTGTCTGAGTCTACTAATATTTGCTGCAGTGCACAGCTTGACAAATGCTGGGGGAAGTTTACTTTTGCTATTCAGGCTGGTGCACACAGTTGCTTCAGACATGAGCTGTGTAAACCATGTCTGTCAGCTTTACTGCTTAATTTGGCAAAGAAGATATTAATGTAAACAGGGGAATATTACAGAAATGGAAATAGGTAATGCTAGAAGAGATTGCTAGAAGTAATCAGCAAGTTCAGACTTCAGTAGATGTTTTTTTACCCTGAAAAGAGCTGGTGGTACTGACAGATTATGGCAGTGTTTCTTGACAGCGTGTGAGAGGGGAAGGTAAGGTCTTTTAGGGGAGGAAGAAAGGGCTTCTTTCCTGTATGCAGGAATACATAAGTAAGCCCACTTAATTTTGTTATTCTCTAGCTGCAGGTTTGCGGACACCGTTGGCAGTACCAGGACCCTACCCTGCTCCGTTTGGAATGGTACCTCATGCTGGCATGAATGGAGAGTTAACCAGTCCAGGGGCAGCCTATGCCAGTCTGCACAATATGTCACCCCAGATGAGTGCTGCTGCTGCTGCAGCTGCCGTGGTTGCCTATGGACGATCTCCTATGGTAGGCCATACGTTGCATGCAGTCTCAGTCCTGTGAGTTGTGGTTCACTGAGAAAAGCTGCATGCTTCATTTAGCACTGCAGAATTCCCAGCTCATAACAGTGCCAGAAGCTTGACAGCTTCACTGCATGCTTCACTTTGCTGTGTGGATGAAGAAACAAATTTGCACCTTCAAAACAAAGAATTTCAGTGTATTAATGTATGTTTTCTTTGTCCTTCACCTTTATCGGGCCTTTGACTGATGAATAAATACCAAAAACTTACTTTGTGCTGCTGTAAATGAAAAAGTAGCTTTGGTACACGTAAAGTATTTCACTGTAGCTGTGGACATCTGCTTTTTTGTTGCTGAGCCACATTGGTATTCCATATAGACATAACAAATTAATCTTGAAGCATGTATCTGGGTCTTCGTCCCTGTATTTTGTTGAGTTTTTTGTGGAAATCAACCTGAGAAGTTAGTCAGTACCTGTTTTGGAGCTCTGAGATCAGGTGTGTTAAGCATACTTGCTGTTGTGGGTGTAGTAAGTAAATGGAACCTGGTAGTTACAGTGGCTGTCACACAGAATAACCTAGGAACCTGGTTCTGTAAACATGAGCTTGATGGCAGCTTTCTGCATAGACAAACGTACCTACTTGTAAATTTTCAAAGTTGGATTTATGCTTGTCAGCTTCTCATTATTGTTTCTATAACAACTTTTTTCAAACTGTGCAAATTTTAAATAGCCTATACCCTCCTTTTAAAGCAATATGAATGTTTATTCTAGTATAATGTTCAGAAGAAAAACAGTATTTTTGTCCAGAATTTCTGCTTGGATTATTTGCTAAACACACTCAAAATATAAAAATTCAGTAAAATTGCAGTATGTAAGTAGAATGTTGTTTTCTTAAGCTGTGGATGAGCTTGTTTGCACCTTACAGTGTGTCTGAGAGATCTTTCAGCTGTTGTGCCCACACAGAAAGCTGTGGAGGCAGTGAGATCCTAGGTGGGCCCCAGAGCTACTTCCCAGTACCACACTGTGCCAGCCTAAGCAATGCTAGCTCTCTCAGGAGTGAAAAGCACTGGCATAGCTTGCTGCTGATATGGACTCTGCTTCCAGGGCTAACACAGGACTCTCCCTGCTAACTAGGACTGCTGGGTAATGCTCAGTGTGTGAATCCATGATAAATTATTTTCTGCTTTTGTATGAGTGCTTCTATCAGAAGATTGTGCAGGGAAAAGGTCTGGGTTTTGCCCCGCAGTGGAGGGTCATGCAGTTATCTGATACTGTGGGTAAAAACCACCTTTTGATTAAATGCGTAGTATCTTGGGAGTGGAGGAAAGAGACTTGCTGAGAAATGGATGAGAAGTTCCAAGTGTGAGATTCATTCACTTTTTGTTGTCAGGTTGGGTTTGATCCTCCTCCTCACATGAGAGTACCTGGAATTCCTCCAAATCTAGCAGGGATTCCTGGGGGAAAACCGTAAGTAACTTTTAACATTTTGGTAACATCTGCAATATTTAAAGGGAATGAAGTTATATTTGTCAGTGAAGAGGGATTTCGAAGGGGATAGTGTGTGGTTGTTTTTAAGAGGGTGTTTCAGACCTCTCTAGGTAAAACCTGCAGCATAAAAGTTCTCAAATGGTAGTTGTCATATCCCAAAAGAGGTGTATATATACCTATTTCCAAGTTGTTGAAGGTATACTTTAAGGTTTTTTTAATTTCATTCTTTCTGGTGGGAGATTAAGGGGACAACAAACTAAACAGTAAATAGTGGTAAAATGTGTCAGATAAAAATATGTTGAAACTAAAATTTGCACTACACCAGGATCAATGTGTATTGCAAACTTGCAGACTCCTTGTCTGGCACTTGTTTTATCAGGCATGACTGTCTGCAACTGATGACAGTAGGTATCTGGAGCAGTTACTTTAGCAATAGATTACACACACTTTGCATAATGGAGCAAGCTGTTTAGAACTTTTGTGTGAGTGCAGCTGGAGACCAAAAGGATGGTGAAGGAGTTGTAGAGCAGGTGGTGCATAGATGTAGAAGAGTTTCCACAGTAAGTTATTTTTATTTAAAAGTTTTGATTTTTGGTAAAGCAATTATTAAATAAAATGGTTGTGTGATGCTGTGACTTATTGATATTTCAATTGAATAAGTTCAGCAGCATACACGAAATGTTTCAGTAATTTGGCTTTGGTAGACCATTGACTCTGAATTTAACCAGTGCAGTAGACTCATAAGCATGTATGACCTCTGAAAATGTGCAATTAATATGTTTAGTTATTTCTGGACAACTAGTCTATGTGGGTTCTAACAGAAGACATTTAACTCAGCTGTTTTTCTGGAGAGAATGAAGTAGAGAGAACTCCTAACAGTTTTTTCAACACTGTTTGAACTTGTTCTTTGTTCACACTTGGCAGTCAGTCCTGATTTCTCTTTTAACAGGAACTTGCAATTAGAGTAGTTTTTCTCTACCTAGGTACTTACAAAATTTTGAAATTTATTCAGCACATTGGACTTTCTGTGCAGGATGTTCATATTACACAATGTCTATTTACCAATCTAAATTTAATTTTCCTTTTACAGTTTGAGGAAACATTTATAGAAACTATTACTTTTAGGATGCTGTGGTGAAAATTATATCCTCACACATTTCTGTTTGCTTTGACTTTGGACTAGTGATACCTTGTAATGTCTTGTAAACATTCTTGAAAGGACAGATTACAGGCAAAAAAAAAGTATATTTTCTTCTGATCTTTTCCTATAACAATAGGAAAGCAGCAGACTTAGTTTGGAAAGCCATCCTAAATGTGTTTTTGTGGTTATCCACCATGCTTCTGGGAACAGGCTTAGCTATCTGTTGACAGTGTGAGAAACCTGTTAAATCTTGGTTGTACTTAAAGTTGGTGGTGTGTTGACAAGATTAGTGAAGTGCAGGCTCAATGAGTTGGTGTTGTGTATCAAATGTGGTGTATTTAAATTTAGTGCAGTAAGGATCAGGCTTTGTACTTAAAACTCAGACACAGTCTTGCTGACTTTCATGGAATTTGGCGTACTTAAATAAAAAGTATACTTTTGAAAATTGCATAATTGAATGGCTCTAAGTTTTTACTTCTAAACAAGTGTATTCATAAGCTTTCAATACCATATTTCGTTGCTTTGCAAGATTGTATACTGTAATCTAGCAAAACCTATTTTTGTTGAGAAATTTTGTTCACAGAAATTTTCTGTGGCTGACTTCTGGTTGTTACACTGTTCAAGGACAGCATATGTGTACTGCTGTACTTTGTATCCTGGTAATTTAGTTAAATTATTGGTGGGGGGAACTGTGTGGGGGTTGCAAATATCTCACTTCTGGTTTTTTTCTCCTGTAGTTTCTCTAGGGAGCAGATATAGTTGTGCAAACTGGTGGTGTATGCCTTGTTAATTTCAAAGTCAGCCTTTTTCTTGATTGCTAATACAGTGACACATTGAATTTGTTTCATTAGATGTGAAGTTTTAGTTGCAAGTGGTACAGAGAATTTTCGAATTGAACTATTGAATCCCCACTCATATGTGTATGCTTCATGCTGCACATTTTTTATCTACAGTTATGGTTATACTGTGTTTTCACCCAATAGAAAATTATATTCCCTTCTTTCTAAAGGATGGACACTTCTGATAGCACTCAGGATTTTTAAGCCTAGTATGTTCTGAGATCTCTTAATGACCTGCTTGTTTGAAAAATGTGTAACTTGTTAAAAATCCACTTGGACATGAACATGTGGTGTCTGAGTCGTGAACACTTTTGTTCTGATGCATTTTAATATGCCCTGGACTGTGAGTTTTGGTGTGTTCCTCTAATATTTTTTTTTTTCTTTGAATAGTCTTTTTAACAAGTACTTAGCTTTTAGTATTCTACCTGCTGAAATAACATTCTTATGGATTTCTGGTTTATGTGAACCATGTCTTTTAAGAGCTGGATTTTGGACTAAATACAGAGTTTCAAGATGAGTGGTAAGGTTTATATCCACAGTACTGCTTCCCTGGTGTCTAAAATTCTGAATTAATGGTAGTATTAAGGACAAATATATTTCTCAGCATGTTTTCCTGGACAGTAAAAAGAGCTGAAAATATATGTTTCTTATATTAATAGGAAAGGGAAACTTTATGAGGTAAATGTTAAATCTTCTTCCTTCTACTTATAAGCTGACTTTTCACTGTGTTTGTGGAGCAATTTTTTGGAATTGCTTGATTTCAGTACTGTTGTGTTCTACAGGTCTTCATACTTTTACAGTGAATGTACAATGAGAAATTTTGTAAAGGAAGGCTAATTTTACTGTATTATAAAAGATTAAGGGCTGTGTGCATCCCTGCCATTTATATCTAAATAGAACCATTTGGTGACATGTACGAAGATGAAAACTTAGTCATTTCTGTACAAATATGTCCATCCTTATTTCTTGGCATTTTATTCTATATGATGAAACAACACACTCAGATATGCATTGTTTCTTGTGATAAGTACAACTAAGAATGAGCTAGAGTGCTGAGAAAAGCTGAAAGCAAAATGAACTTGTGAATGGAAGGAACTTTTGTTTTCATGTTTTACTGTCAGGGGTATTGTTCTGCTAGTTAAAAGAAGTCTGCTTGAATTGAAGAGATGAAGTGGAAGTTTTTGAGGGATATTTTTTAAGATGTTATTTAGGAGTCAGGAATTATGTGCATTTTTACCTCAATCTGAATACTTAAGAGTAGCTGGTAGGTAGTTTAGTTAATTTCATATATTCTTGGGTAGTGAATTAATTATCCTGAACTCTCCTCAGCATATCAGATAATACTTACTTGCTGTATACTTATTTGGAAATTGGAGAGTTAAGCTGAGAAATTGGTTTGTATTAGTATCACTTAACTATGTTGCTGTGCATAGGAACTCTGCAGGTTCTCAGTGCTTCTTTGACACATGTGAGAGAAGTCTCTGGATGCAGTAATTCAAAAGACTATTTCCATTATTCAGAAATAATATAAGTATACTATTTCTCAGAACTCTTCTAAGCAAAAAGCACAGGATTTTGTCTTGTAATTGTTCTTGTCATAATATTCCGTTAATATGTATTTCTTGATATGTACTTAGTGTATTTTATATTAAATTTTAATTTCATTTTTATAAGATAATTTTCTTTGTTTGTTGTTAGCCCAACACAAGAAAGGACTCTCCTTTGACCAAAGAGGGCTAATCATGGAATCCATTATAGGATAGCCATCTTTCACACAAATAGAATGCTCTGAGTGAGACAGAAAACTGTGCTAGTCATGAGACTAAACAGCAGTTACTGGCATACATAGTCAGTTCTAAAAGAAAAATCGGTGATCAAGTGATACCTGTGAAGGAGTTCTGAGCTTTAGGAAGCTCAAGAATTTGCCAGATTTTGCTAGTTGTTGACTCCTTTGAGGTTAAATAATGAAAATTCTTGTAATTTTTGAGAATTGAGGCCTGTAAATATGTCTAGTGCAATAAAAATTAAATCTTCTGTAAGTGTGAACTGTAAGTACAGTCGTTCCCAGGAGCAGCAGGATCTCTCTCATGATGAAGAGGAAGCCAAGGGATGCAGTGTTTGAGCTGCAAATAGTCATGTGCACTGCTGCTGTCTCCTGCATTCTTCTGGAGACAGACACTTCTCCTTGTCCAGGGAGTGTCTGGAGTGTCAGTCTGGCAAACCATGCAAGCCTTTTCAAGGTTAAAAGGTACTGTGTAACAAAAAACTCGTCTCTAGCAGAGACGAATCACTAGACTACCATAGTGTAAGTATGCTGGCAGTGGTGATGTTAGCATTACTTGCGACATATCTTCAAGCAAACAGGAACATTTACTGTTTTGTGTGCTTGTCTTGGCAGAGGGATTTGGCAAAGTGTAGCCATTTCTTTCTACAGTGGATTGCACTGTAGAAAAAGCTGTCTTGGCTTGTAAGAAACTATTGCTGGTCTGTTTGTTAGCCCATCACACTCAGTCTTCCTGTATCCTGATCAACCAGTCTTAGAAGCAAAGGCTAAAAAAGAGGTACTGCTTCTATGATTAGAATAGCCCCATTTTAAACACAGACATAGTAGTAAAATTCTACATGATTAAAAAATAAACTGGGTAGGCTTCTGATGTTTCAAAGCATAAGAATCACTACAGTTCTACAGTAAATAGGAAGTACTTGAAAAATGTTTCTGTTATCTTCCTCACACTTTTATCTCAGCAAGAACTGAGAAGCTCTGTGTATGCACCTAAGCATTTTGAAACACTAATTATTTAGGCATTTTGAATCGAACAGAACATTTAAGTTGTAACCTTCAAATTAAAAAAAAGTGATGGACAAGTAGGTTATTAATCTTGGACATGCTGGAAAAAATGGTCTAATACATGCTTAATTGTTTTGCTTCAGTCCATGATAAAAGCAAGGGTGGGCTGAAACTTCAGAGTTGTACAGTTCTGTGTACTCTTATTGCTAACAAATGCTGTGCAACTGACTTTGATCTGGAGCCCAGGATGGGGCAAAACTTTTCAGTGTCTTAATGCTATAACTCTTTTGTTGAATTCTGTCGGTGAACCTGAGCAGTTCAGCCTCCAGCAACCTTGTTGCCACTCCTGTTCTGCTCCCTCTCCTGTCCTGTGTCTGATCTGTTTAGTGAATACCTACTTTGGGACGATCTTGTCTCTTTTCTTCACAGGAAGGAATGGGTTTCTACTTAAGCCTTTATCATTACTGTAATTCTTCATACAGAAAGCCAGAAAGGGTCACATGGGACAAAATACACTTGACTGAACATAGCACTTCCGTTCTTACCTTACATTTCCCATTCCTGATATTTCTGTGCCGAAAAAGATGTCATCTTTTGTACTTGCTCCTTCTCTATTTCTGTGTACTGTCTGAATAAGCTTTCTGCTTATACAATCAATCATGAAACATGAATGAGTATAGGAATTACATACATATGCACTATTTCTCCTCTGTTTAAGAGCAGTTATGGTTAACCAGTTTTTACCTTTCATTTAAGAAAAAAAACATGATATTGCATGAATTGCCTGTTTTCAGTCTTAGTTTCTGTATGAAAGAGCTGTGGAGTTCTTTCATCTGTCCTCATGGATTTTCAAAGGAATGTCTTATGCCCAGGAGCAGAGCAGATTCAGTTGCTTTGTGATGTCTGTTCCAGAACATGGCATCTTCCTTGTTCCTTCATTTCAAACTGTGTGATATTTAGGAACATGTAATAAAATACCTTGAAAATACTGGCTTATTATTCAGGACAGAAGATTTAATAGAAATACCTATTGTTGGATTCTTGGAAGATGGATGGGATACTAATAGTTGAACTATAGTGATTGAAGAGTTCTGAGAAAGAAAGTAGATTTGGAAAAGAAAGGGAAGTTCTGAACAAAAGAATATATTAGAAAAATAAATGTTCCAGTAGGGAGAGATGGCATCTTATTAGTGAAAGAAAAAAAAAAAAAAAAGAATACTCATCTCTCACCATTTTTTATCCACTTTAGCCTCCTGAAAGATGCTGTTGATGTAACAACAGCATCAAAAGCATGAGCTGTAATGCACTTAAAACAGAAGTAACAGAAAAGGAGTTCACTAGTATAGCAAAACCCAGCCTTTTACGGTAGTATTTTCATTAGTAGTTAAAATAAGCAAAGAAAGAACTCCTCTGCACCTGAAACCTTTATTAGTTGGTATTTGTGCCCTTGTCCTTGAGCAGAGCTGACTTTTCAGTGACCATGAAAAAAAATAATTTCATGTACTTTCCCTGAGTAGTGTTTTTATTCAGTGCTAGAATGTCACTTCCTCAATCCTCAGTTTCCACAAACTGGAAATCATGCAATGAATACAAATAGACGGTATTTCTGAAGTGCCAGAAGTACCTGAAAAACTGAGCCTTTCTGGTTTTTCAATGTACATATTCAAGAAAACATAATTATGAGAAGTTGATATCAGCTTTCTGATGAAATCTGTGTGCAATCACTCTGTGTTTCTATTTTCTGTTTAAAGCACTACTTATGCACTGGAAAGAGGGGTATATGAGCACAAGCTGTGGTGATATTACAGATGAGGTGCAGGAATCAACCAAAACTTTGGCTTGTGGTACTGCGAGGCAACAGGTGTAAGCCTCATGGGAGGATGAGAATAGTGCCTGGTGGGGGACTGCTGCTGTGAGACTTGTGGTGATGACACTTTCAACTGCTAGCTAGAAACCAGGGGCTGAAAGGTCTTCTGATTATCTAAGTGGCTAAGGGATAGCAGCCATGACCTTGGTCGGTAGAGTTAAGGGTGGCATTTAACCTGCTTCCCCATTACACAAATACTTTGGCTGAGTCAAGCTGAAAATTTCTATTGTGAATCTTTGTCTCCAGCTGAGGTTTCATCTGCCTGTATTACTTGGCACTGTAGCTCTGATTTTTGCGTGATGATTGGCAAAGCACTAAAATTAAAAATACTGTGTTTTTCTTGCATTGTAGTTCTGTAATGGATGATTTTTTAAATTGTTTTGTCTTCTTTCTTTCCCTTCCCCAAAAGAGCCTACTCCTTTCATGTTACTGCAGATGGTCAGATGCAGCCAGTTCCTTTCCCTCCTGATGCCCTCATCGGTCCAGGAATCCCTCGCCATGCCCGTCAGATCAACACCCTGAACCATGGGGAAGTTGTGTGTGCAGTTACCATCAGCAACCCCACGAGACACGTGTACACGGGTGGGAAGGGCTGTGTCAAGGTTTGGGACATCAGTCAGCCCGGTAACAAGAGCCCTGTCTCTCAGCTGGACTGCCTGGTAGGTGAACAGGAATTTATGCACAAGGGTAGCTTCTCCTTAGAATTTTTTTGAGTGTGTAGAGACTCAAAAAAAAATCCTTGTTTGGATTTTGTTCATATTAGAAGGAAATAGCAGGCAGATCTGTTTCCAGATGTTGGGTTTTTTTTTTTTTTTCAATACATAACTGTGTTACAGAGAATAGTCCTGGCTTGTTTAGTGATAATTATCACTAAAGGTCAAATAACAGATTTGATCAGATTTCTGAATAGAACTTGTATGTTATATTTTGAATAAAATGTAATATTTTTCCCTTTCTAGTTATACTGATGATTTTTATGCATGAATTTAAAAGGAATGTAGCTTGTCGTATGCAGGACTGCAGAGAACCTTTCTAGGTCTTTCACTCACATGAGGAGCAAAAACCTCATTTCTGTAAGATGATAGCAGCCATGTGACACATCACCAAAGGTCACTTAAAGTTTCACTATGAATTTTGTTCATGATCTGCTAGTTATACATATAGCCCAGTTATTTTCACATGTTCAGGGTACAGAAGGGACTGGGTGCAATAGTATAGGTAGCTGAAAAGTTAACTTCAAAAACATAATGGCTCAGTAAGAGATGCTTCTCACTAGAAGCAGCATTGTGCAGTGTTAACTGAGAAGACTTAATGTTGTCAAGTACAGCAATAGGTATTGTAAATGAAAATTCTAGCTTCAGTGTAGATCCAATTAAATGTGGTTTTTACCCTTTATCCTTTCTTTACTGCTACCATTTTGTAATAGATGAGTAGTAATACTGAAGTTGAATAGGTATTCTGTTCTGTGGCAGGTGTATCTGTCTGGATGCACAGCCTTCATGTTAGTTAGGGAGCAGTAATGACTGATTAAGTAAGCATTTTCACTGCCCTACTTACTGCTTCTTTCCTGCAAATTAAAAAAATATATACCCATATACCATATAGAAATGCTGTTAACTAATTCTTTCAGTGTTGTTTTCTGTCTTGAGTTACAGATCTTAATAATCAATTTTGTAAAAACACTGTTGCCAGTCAAGCAAGGCTGTAATAAGGAAAGGTGGAAATGTCTTCTGTCACTAACTCCCCCACAGTACCTCCAAATCAACAATAATACCACAAATGAGAGATCAATAGGTACAAAAATAATCATGCTGAACAACAAAGAACCAACATAAATACAGGACCAATACAGGAATCCTTAAACTTTCCACTTTAATACTGTGAATGCAAAATAGTATTTGAAAGAAAAATTCAAAAATCTGAAGTACATGAAACTAGAACGACATTTTCATATAGGGCTGTTAAATGCCACATGAAAGGTCATTTGCTTTAATATTTCTATTGTTGGTGACCTTCACTGATGGAGTGCATTTGCAGAAAAGCAAGCTTACTTTGGCTCTGTTTTTTGTGTAATGAGATAGAAAACTTGCCATTTGTCACGTTTGAAACAGAGTAGACTGTGGCAACAGGAGTCTGCAGTTTTAATTTCTGCAGCTGCAGTTTGTAATTAGTGATGAGAAGTAGGTGTTTCCAACCTTTTAGGATCTGCTGACTCCTCTTCAGTACTTTGGTAATGGAAAAAGTACCAAACTGCTTGAAACTTTGATGCAGTCAGAATTACATTAGTGGTCATTACTGGCAGGCATATAACTGAGGTGGTTTGTGTTGTACAGAACAGAGATAACTACATCCGGTCCTGTAAATTGCTGCCTGATGGATGCACCCTCATAGTTGGTGGGGAAGCCAGCACATTATCCATATGGGACCTGGCAGCTCCAACTCCTCGTATAAAAGCAGAGCTGACATCCTCAGCACCTGCCTGCTATGCTCTGGCTATCAGCCCTGACTCCAAGGTGTGCTTTTCCTGCTGCAGTGATGGGAACATTGCAGTGTGGGATCTGCACAATCAGACACTGGTCAGGTAAGTCGTTGTTTACAAAAAATTTTAATAGAAGTTACTCTTTGGACAGCTACATTAATATTTCTCTCCCTGAAGAGGGTTTATAACAGCAAAGTAAATAGTGTCTCTTATTCAGAGGAGAGGTTTACACCCAAGTCAGGCAGAAACTAGTTTTAGTAGCTTCAGCCTAGTCTTGGAAGATACACTTTCAGGGCTTGTCCATAACATTCTGTAATCAATGTAAAAGCTCTTGCAGGTCTCTATTATTGGGAATTGGTCTGCAGCTTTCTACAAGTGATGTTCTTGCTGGTCTGGTTTGTTACTGGTATGGACTAAACATGCCTTTTAGGGAATGCTTTGAGGTTTGTTCTTTTCCTGTGTCTTAAGTCTTGTTAAGTAAAAAAGTATTAGCAATTCTTATTTAGAGATGGGAAGTTGTAAAATTAATCTTACAAAAGTTGTTGAAAGGGTGGATCCCGTCAGTTCTTTAGGAAAGCAGACGTGCTAACTATAAGATAAATTTAGTTTAGGCTTACCAATGCAGTGATGGCTTACAATATTTTGAGAAGAGTGATTTTGGAAAGGCCATAATACCTTGATAGTTCTGAGCACAAAAACTGAAGAATATGCGTAGTCTGCTGTGTTTCAGTTAAACTTCCTGTATATACGTAATTAGCTGAAAATTACATGGAGAGAGTCATGTTAATGTGCATGCAAATTTTAGTTTCTGTTGAACTTTAGGTCAGTAAATACAATTTTAGTTAGATAGTTTAGTTAGTTTTCACTTTGTCATGTGCATGCTTAGTCCCTTTAAAGACACACTCTGCAACATCTATACACATCTGTGAATGTCCTGCTTTTTAAATGTTTGTGGTATGTGTTCCCACCACTTGTGCGCTGATCTTGCTTGTTGATAGCACATGGAATTTTGCGACCAGAGTTACTAAACAAAACATGCTGTGTGACCTTTCTGTGGCAGCTCTTGGTGATTCATACCCTTCCTTCCCAAGCTAGTTGTCTTTTCCCCACCCACCCTCCACCTTTTACACGGAGGCATAGGACTTTGCTAAAGCTAATTGCTGATGAAAAATGCAGGAGCTTCAGAATGCTTTTGCCAAAGGATTGCAAAAAACTTGAGATGACCTTCTGCTTGCTGAAAGCTGAGAGTTGCTAATGAGAAGGTTATAAAACGAACTGCTCCATTTAGATTTTTCTAATCTCCTGCCACAGAGAATGCAACTTTGTGACTCAGCAATGCTTGTGTTCAATTATGTGGATCTCTATCTGGATCCCTTTCTATTAGTATATCTCCTTGTTATTTATCTTCTTGACTTGTAGCCAAAGAAAAATACAGAAGCTGTTTTCTGAAATTGGAGGTTTTATTCTCTGACCGCTTCAATTTTATCTGAGTTATCCTTAGTGGTTTTAACTGTAGTTACTGTGCTTTAATATTATCACAAGCGGGTTTGAGTTTTTGGGGGTTTTGTTGTTTTGTTTTCTTTCTTCAAAACCTGATAGGAAATATTTGACTTTATTCAGCTAGCCATGGTGTAGGTCATTTCTCCAGCACCTGGAAAATGTTTTTTTAATACTGGTATTTAATGCTCAGTGAGAGGGAGGGGCTGATGCTTGCTCATCATCAGACACAGAACAGATGACACATGTACAGAGTCCAAAACTAACACCACAACAGTGTTTACCTTGAGCTCTGGCAGGAAATCATTATTCAATCTGGTTTGTTTTATCAGGCAATTCCAGGGCCACACAGATGGAGCCAGCTGTATTGACATTTCTAATGATGGTACCAAGCTCTGGACAGGAGGTTTGGATAACACTGTCAGATCCTGGGACTTGAGGGAAGGGAGACAGCTACAACAGCATGATTTCACATCACAGGTAACTGGATTTTCCTACAGCTTGTGGCAATATGTGGGGTGGGAAGGAAACCCTTAGGATCAAAGGTAAGACTGAGCCCAGTAGAACTGGCAGATTATTCCCTCTCTTTCTTTTTGGCTGCTCCCAACACAATATTTTGAAGCTCTTTGATGTGCTTAGATTACAGAAGAAAATTATAGCCTGACACCACTTTCCTATTTTTCTAATTTAATATGCAAAAACAGGGGTTATTTAGTTACTCAGATTTTGATCTGCAGTTTTGCTATTGAACTATGTGAATTTGCCCTTATCTCTCTTGCTCTCTCCCCATTTCCCAAACAATTTTAACTGCAGAAAAATATATATAGGAAAAAAATTAAAAGGTATAAATATGGTATAATTTGCAGATATTTTCCCTTGGTTATTGTCCTACTGGTGAATGGCTAGCTGTGGGAATGGAGAGCAGCAATGTCGAAGTGCTACATGTAAATAAGCCAGACAAGTATCAACTGCACCTTCATGAGAGCTGTGTACTGTCACTCAAGTTTGCTTACTGTGGTAAGTTGCCCTGAACATAGAACTGGAGGTCAGGGCTCTTAATTCATGTTTTACTCATTAGTTATTTCATAGTCATTAGTTATTACATCTCAGTTTCTTAAGTAATGCATAAATATCTCTGCTTTACGAATTCAAATGCACTTATCTACAAACAGCCGTCTGTTTGTCTAGAGGCTGCTGTGAGTATTGATTCATGTGTAAAAAGCTATTTCTGTTTGAAGTTTAGGGATTTCATAGTATGTAACACCCTGCAAATGTGCTGAGCATCCACACTGATTGTAAGCAAAAGTACTGTGTTGATTTGTAGTAAGAGCTTTTATAAGGATAATTAGGTAAAAATTTCATTGATGTGAATTGAAAACCCAAAATTTGTCAGATGTCTCTTTCATATTTCTGTAATCTTTCTGGTTTATATTCTAGGTAAATGGTTTGTGAGTACTGGGAAAGATAACCTTCTTAATGCATGGAGAACTCCTTATGGGGCCAGTATCTTCCAGGTGAGGATGATGTTGCTTTTAATGAAAAAAAAAAATAAAACATGCAAAGTTCCAGGAGTGGATTCAGATATCTTCACATATCTCATCTACCTAAAATGAGATGATGAAATGAGGGTAAACAAACTTCTTTTTAATGATGTAATATATTTCTATTTTTCTTCTAGTCCAAAGAATCTTCATCAGTGCTTAGCTGTGACATCTCTGTGGATGATAAGTACATAGTCACTGGCTCTGGAGACAAAAAAGCTACAGTCTATGAAGTTATCTACTGAAAAATATGATGGGGATATTCTTTTAGAGGTTGAACTGGGCCAAAATTGTTTGTAGAAGTAGAAAGGTTTTGAAGTTTTGAAAGGAACAAAAGTGTTGAGGTTCCAGACATTGCCATGAAACTACTCCAATTTTTCAAAATAGAAGGCAACATCCACCAACTAAGTGTTGGCTGCGTGGACCAGACGGAACACAGAGGCAAGATGGACAAATGTAGCCTAGGTTTTTGACATAATTTTTAAAAGCCAAGTCTACTGAAGAATGTTGGAGCCTTTTATTTTTTTTCTTTTTGTGACCTCATGCAAATTTTTCTCATTGTCTGAATATGGGGGATAAATACCTTTCTGTTCTTGCAGTTCAAGTTGCATTCTGTCCTGGGTAGAGCAGCAGTGTCTCAGATGAACTTGTTTCCTGGTTTTGCATCTTGTGATATGTTTTTGTAGTTTTGTTGAAGGTCAAACATTTGTATAAATTGTAAATATATTTAGTTTACTACAGTAAAGGCTTTAGTACCAACAACCAGTCTTCCCCCTTGCCCCCTCCCTGCTTGCCCTGCTTATTTAAAATTAAAAACCTTTTGGGGATATAAGTACCTTTTTAGAAGCAAAAGCAAACACTATGTATAGTTTGAAAATGGTGTCTTATTCTTTATAACTATTCTTAGATTCCTTTATCATACTTCAGAGTAGTTGATTTGACATACTAGGGTATCAAGTCCAGTAGATATTGTCTTGTTCTACGGAAAACTTAAAGGCAGTTTTGTACTAATTATAGTGTAAATATAAAAATTGAACATTTCATGAAGCTGTGCAGTTTAAGTTTATTCTGATGTCCCATGTATATGTTATTTGGCAGATACAGTAATATGTGCCTCATCATAACTCATTTGGTCATTTCTCTAGAAGAGGAGGTGACTTCCCTGTCCTTTTTTCCCCCCAGCTGAACAGAATTCATGTGAGACTACATTTCAACTAAGTACATCAGAGCCTTTATTTGTTATATGAGGATGTCTGTGATTAGATAAGTTTCATCCTTCATGTTTTACAGAGAAATGGTAGTTAATGACCATTTCCTTTTTAAAGTCTTGTCTATACTTAGATACTCAGGTAAATTTAACTAAATTACCAAAAGTGTGAGTTTACAGGGGATTGCTTAAAGATGTTAAATGACTTGCAGGGTTGCAAGTGAAGTGAATTCACCTAAACTAAGTTAAACTTGCTTCTTAATTTCTTGTGAGAATATTGACAAAGGAATATTTTGATTTTTAACTAATCCACTCTGCAAATTGATAAGAATTAATTTTCCTGAGTGTCCCATGTTATGCAGGCCTGTAGACTATGTATTCATGCTGAGCAATCTTTGAGTCCTTTCCATTGTTGCATCACTGTGTGACATCTGTGAAGAGCCATGATAAGCAGCCAGTTACCAAAGCTATGCATCTTCAAGTATTCTTGGTGTACTCAAGAGCAAAGTATGAGGAGAGAATGTGTTCACTTTATTTAATTTTTATTTTTTCAGTCTAATGTGTTCTACCACTGTGTGCTAGACAACAAACTTTGCTGTTGCACTGGTGAGAGCCATACATTTCCTACATTCTGTAATTTGGTTATAATTTCTGTTGCTAATGGAGAGTACAGATGAACAGAAGGATATCTTTGAACAATTTAGATTACACAAACTGAAAGAAGACGGGCTGCTTTATAATTTTGCTAGCATTTGATGATGGCCTATGTCCCTGCTCTTTCAAAGACATGTAGCTAGGAAGAAACAAGCTTGACTGGCAGATGCGTTGATTGGATAAGGAATTTTTCATCTGGGGGCAAATTTTACCTAAGTTTCTAGTCTGAAGAGACACATGTTTTCTTTTCAATTTACATGACCATTCTACTGAAGTCAAATTATATCATCTAGAACTGTAATAACCTTAATGTATTAACATTCCATTCAGAATACTTACCCATTCAGGATAATATGGTCTCCTAGACATTTAAAATTAACATTGTATCCATACATCTTATTGTTGATTGCTTAGTTGTTAATTTGTAACTGTATGAAAATGACAGTCTAGTTTAGATGCTGGTCATGTTGCTTTCAGACATAATGGGGCAAAAAGCAGAATCATCAGGCTTTCCAAAGAATTAACTATATTTGCTACACTGAAATAATGGAAAGTGCTATGCCATTTTTAAAAGGGAAAGTTTTAAAACAAGAGTACTTACAAGATTACTTGCGTTTTACACTTTTCATATTGAAATTTCTCTGAACATCTGGCTCTGGCAGTGATCATTGACTTTAGCAGCACTGACAAATCTGCTTTAGGACCTTTTGGATTTTTGCCAAACTGCTGTCACCTTGGCTTTTACTTTATAGGTATCCTTTTGCTGTTCTCTGAAGTCCATATCAGAGGAACCAAGATTGCAAGTAATCTTACACATCTATATCAATTTAAAAAACCCCACCAGTGTAATTGGTCTGCTATATGTCGTGACATAGGGCTTGCTAGTAAGATCACACTTGTCAATCAGGAGCTTCAAAATCATAGTTTCAGGAAAATCGTAAAACACCTTGTTTTCTTGGCATCTAGAATGTACAGTATGTCAGAGCAGTTATGGAATCAGAAATTTATGTGAATGAATTTAATTATATTTGTACCATGTATTTCTTGATTTTAATTCTGAAATTAATTCGTTTTTTTCCCCCATCATATTTTTAAGCCTTGTTTCTGAAAATTAGTGGATACATCTGAAAGCTTCTGGATGCATCATTCATACTCGTGGTTGAGTAGTTCTCTCCATTTGTTGTTTTAGATTTCACTTAATGTTTATAAAATTGTGAGTCTTTTCATTTGTCAGACAGTAAACCATATTCTACTTGCAGATGTATTTTTTAATTAAAAGATAGATTTGCTGAACTCCTAGCATATCTGTCTACACAATTACCTAAAAGATGTAAAACTGATGAAGCTTAAAACTTCTGTAAGTTCTTGTAGCCCTGTGTAAAATAGTGGGTGGAAATAATTGCTTATTGAATGAAGAAACAGACTAACCAAGATCATCACTAACAGAAAAGGCACTGGGAAAAACCATATGGGAAAGAGAGGTGCACCAGTAACTATTGTATAGGTAATTTTTTTTTTTTTTTTTTTGTGGGGGATGAACTTAAATACAATCTTAAAAGATTCCTGAGATTAGCCCCTTTTTGGGATAGTCTTTGTGTGCTGGGTGGCCTTCAGGATTCAGAGATGTCTGAATGCCACTCTGGCAAATGCTAGTTCTGGATAGAAGCAGGGAGTCCTTACAAAAGACATTTGGATGTCAGTAAAAAAAATAAGTGTTGAAGAGGGGATTTGTGTTAATATCGATTCAACTGAACAAAATCCTTTGTCAGCTTTAATATGTATATTTTGTATATGTGCACTTGTTATAACCCTTCATAAATCGATTGTGCAGAAAGTCATGATATCATTCCACAAAATGCATTTGTCAGTGTGTCAGACTTTCTTTTTAATTATAATTCCAAGGAATGATAATTCCCTATGTTAGCCCGCAAGCCACTGGTATCTGAAAGAGAATTTTCATCTACATTAGTTCTTTGTAACTCTTTTGGCATTTCAAAGGCTTTTGTTCCTTTAAACGAAGGAGAGAGCACTAAATGAACAGCATTTTTACAGACTGTTATAACAAGTGTTATTTTTTAATATAAACACCAATGTAGCATCTGTCATCTAGTCTCATACATACTTCTATGTATGAATGATTGACCGTAATTTTTGCGTCATATTTTTGCATTGGTGATACAAGTAGAATTTCAGAAGCTTCTAAATTACTCAAGTAGTGTTAACTCAGATTGACAAACTGATTTTTGGTTTTGATGTTTAATTCCTGGTAGGGTTTTTTGTTTGTTTGTAGTTCTGTGGAATGACTGGCCCACTTAGGAGCCCATGGGATTATGTAGTCTAGTTAGAATAGTCTTTTATATTTTTTATTATATTGGTGCAATTTTGAGTTGATGGGGAAATTCCACCATTCTGTTAATTAAGAAAGGTGGATTTTGAAGTTTTTGGGCTAAGGAGGAGTACAGACTTGTGATCTCACACTACTGATAAAGTGTTTATCCCTTAGATCACTTCACTAGATAATCTGGACTGACTCCAACTCTGCTGTCTCTTTGAAGAGACAGCAGAGTTTGGTTTTTTCCCCTACCAAAAGCACACAGAAAGAATTTGAGAATGTAGGTCTATGTAAGACTTCAGCCAATTCATTCTGTCCTGCCAGACAGACATGCTTCATTACATGATGGGGTGGGGAAGGTGAAGGAACTGAGAGTTGAACTTGTCAAACACCAGCATGCAGGAGAGTTCATGGCAGGAAATTCATGGACAGAATCACTTCAGTTAGAAAAGCTCCCCAAGATCATCTAGTCCAACCTTTGACTGAACATTATGTGTAAACTAAACCAGAGCATTATGTGCTGCTTCCAGTCATTTCTTGAACACCTGTGGGATGGGTGACTCTACCACCTCCCTGGGCAGATTGCTGCAATGCTTGACAACTTTATCCATGCAAAAATTCTTCCTGATGTCCAACCTGAACCTCCCGTGGCTCAGCTTGAAGCTGTGTCCTGTTGTCCTGTGGCTGAGAGGAGGGGCCAAGTGACACCCAATTTGCTACAACCTCATTTCAGGGAGTTGTAGAGTGATGAAGTCTCCCCTGAGCCTTTTCTCCCATCTAAACAATCCCAGCTGCCTCACTCCTTAAAAGACTTGTGTCCCAGACTCCTCACCAGCTTCTCTGCCCTTCTCTGAACACACCTCAGTGTCCTTGTCGTGAGTGGCCTAAAGCAGAGCACAGGATTTGAAGTGCAGCCTTTCCAGTGAAAGGGACAGGGAAAATCCTGGCCCTAGTCCTGCCACACTATTGCTGACACAAACCAGGACACCATTAGCCACCTTAGACACCTAGTCACACTGCAGGACAAGGGAAAATGAGAACATAGAAATACATAGATTTTAGGTGTAATCTAACATGCAATTGCACAATTCACCTAAAATGAGATTTCAGTCAATTCACTGACTTCTGTTTCTCTATAAAGTTGTTCAAATGTTTCTGCATAGTTCTTCAAGGACATTTGAGTTGTGTGTTTGAACTGGAAGTGGACATTTCTTTGATATCCATAAACATCTAGTCATCTCATCCTAAGAGGAAAGAGACTTAACTCACAGCCAGTTCTCAACATTTACCATTACCTTTTATTTCTGTCACTCAAGATCTGCTTCCAAGCACTTGATAATCCCATTTTCAGCAACATGCTCCCAAATGTCCCACTGCAGCTTAAGTGCTTAGTGCCATGTGGTAGATTTTGCTAGGGAAACCAGATATGTAAGAACTGGGTGCATAAAAAATCTGCCCTATGGGTCTATCTTACTGACATTTCTGAGAAATTTACCCAGCATTTCTGCTCAGCTATATAGGAGAGCTCAAACATTCACCGAAACATTTTCTAAATCAGCAAAAAGTGAGTTTTGAACATATTTTAAGCATATGGGGTAGGTTTGAGCATTTTTTTGTTTGGTTTGGTTTATGGTTTTTCACAATTTCAAAATTTTCAATTTTCTGTTGATTTATTTCTTTTTTATTCTGACATTACTTTAAAAAGTATGAATTGAATACAACAAGAAAAATGAAGGAAAATCAGAAGAACGAATAATAGTCTTCAGAGGGCAGAATGTTGTTGAAGATGCAAAGAACCTACTGCTTCTATGTACATTAATTCTTGAGAGAGCTGGATTTCTATTTCCTTGAGGCTAAAAATGCTGCTCAGAAATCTGAATACCAAAAAATGTCTGTTGTGGGGACAAATGTTAGTTATCATTTTCAAACCTGAGCAGGGTTTTTTGTGGGGTTTGGGTTGTTTGGGTTTTTGGGTTTTTCCTCCCATATCTCTTCGGTCTGGGTCTCACACTTCACTCTGAGAAGCTGAACAGCAGTCCGTATTCTTTCTGGCTCTATGCTCCACTATGCATTAGTAATAATTTAGTTGCCTGTTAATGATACATTAAAATCTGATTGAATATTTTAGTGGATAGCTGCACAATGATATTGGGCAGTGTCCGCTGTAATGATTTCCATTACTACAGCAAGAACTGAGATACAAGATAGCTGCATTATTCTATGCTCATACTTCTACTGTTTATGGAATTCCCTGTTTGGCTTAGTTGACTCTTCCTGGAAAAAATTCTGTGGTGGCTTCTGAGGTAAAACATAAAATGATGAGATTTTTTCCTGTCCTATAATTTCACATGTGATTTTGCCCATATTTTGTAAGGTTATGTTGATTCATAGAAGAGATGCTGCGAGGAACTCAACAATTCGATTGTGTACACCTTGGCAAGGATTGCCTTTGCTATGTTCACAGCACAAAGGTATCTCTCAAACCCTGTTTCAAAACCCTGTTTTCTGCCAGGTATGAGTATGAGGTGAAGATAACACATAGTCTGGAGACTAAGTAATCAAACTTACTGTTATCATTATCCCTTTTGTATACTCTGTCATTAACATAGAAAATGGAGATGATAGCCTGTAACTGCAAACAATAAATGCTGTTTTTCCTTTGAGCACTGATTTTAATGGCAATTTAAAGAAGTTAACAAGCAGAATGAAGGGGTCATAAATGAAAGTTAACCCACAGCAGCTGGAAACTGAGAAATCCTTGTTACTTTCCTGGTAGTGAGCCTAATTTGTTTAAAATAAAATCCATCTGCTCATTTCACAGTCTTTGTCACACTTCCTTCAGCGATCCACAGTGGATTACCCCCTTACTTAAAAACCTGTCAGCAATTATGATAAGTTAATAACTTCTATTTTGTGGTTTGCTGTAGCATAAAGTTTTGCAGACCAACGAAGATGCCCTTTATTCTTAAAGAATAGTCAGCTATCGGAGTTTTTTTGCAGTTGGATAAGATTTTTTAAAAATAGAATTCAAATAAATATACAGTCTGATGGCTTTACAAATTCAAAGTGTTTTCTAATTGTTGATGAATCAGCCAAACACTGCTGTTAAGTATGTAAATGTTCTTAATGTCAGTCTGTTTTTTGCTTAGCATGCCATGCATGCAACAAAACTTTGCAGTGATTCAGCTTTTGTGGCCACATTAAATTTACTTACTGGAATAAGTTTCCTTTTTCATACAGAAATCAGTTTACTACCATGCTCCTTTGTGTTTTCTCCTGGACATACATTAGATCTCTAGAGATATTTTAATAAGTTTTATATACATATTGCTTCTAATTTTTCTGTCTTTCTGATTGCTAATTATGTGAGATGTGTATTTCTGACAGCGGTTGAGTGAATATTCACAAATATATTATATAATTGAATTTTTGAATGTGTACTTCAAGAAGTTTATAGACTTATATAGCTAAATCACTGATTTTCATTTGTCAAATTCAAGATTTTCAAGTCCTGATACTCTTGTATTTTTACCAGTGAATATGTTAAAAGAAATACTTCTGGATTTTGAATGCTTCTCATAGCTTTTTTTATTTGTTTATGTAGATACTTTTCTTTGTTGGGTACAAGTTATTGACTTGGTATTCTATTTATAATTCTTCCTGGTTCTTCAGTATTTTATCTAGCTGTAACTTATTAAAAACCACAACTATGAAATGGGGATATTAATGAGAAGTGGTTTAAATGTGAGAGTTTCAAAATGCATGTTAGAATATTTCAACACTTTGTTCAATGTAATTTTACATTTTTTCATTACTTAAGTAATTAAAAAAAATCCTTAGGGTTGAATTATAGTAAAATTTTATACATCTCAGTACTAATTTTGTCTCCCAGTGGACAGCAATAATTTAGATGGGATTGTTTTTACTCAACCTAATTTATTCTTGGGCAGAGGGAAAGGGGAAAAATAATAACCTTGGAAATTTTGCTAATTACGGTAATTTCATTACTATTGTTATTTGTTTTTGATAACCTCCATGCCTTCAGAAATTTCTTCTTCTATATTTTGAAGTAAACATACAGATGTACAGGGTTCTGGAATAGAATGTGTTTACAAGTATTTATCCCCTGGGTTAGCTATAACAGAAAGGGGAAGTGACAGATACCACTTGCAATAGTTGCTAGTGCAATGTGCCTTTGAATCATTTGCTTTAGTTGTTAATTTTTTTTTGTAATCTTAGGTGAGGTAAGCAGCTTTAAATCAGTTTCATTTCTATTGAAGTGGATATGATAATAATACTTTCTTAGAGCTTTACTAGTCTTACTAATTTTAAATCTGCAAGGTAAATGGTTGCATGGATGATTTTTAACTGATTTGACCATTCAGGTTTACTTCTTAGGTTTCAAAACCTGCTAGAATAGAGGGAGAAATTACCAGTTATATTTGGGGTTTTTTTATTGATTTCATTTTGTACTATATATCAATGTGACTTTCTTACCACAGTAAGTGTGCTCAGTTTTAATGTTCCCATAGTTTGTTCCATCTGTTTCATTTGAATTTAGCTTTAAAATTAATCCCTTTCCATAGGTGTCTGCTTTGAATCTTAACAAGTATGAAAATAATCAAAATATTGCTGTTTGATAGAGACACTGTATATTTCTGTTTCTGATGTGGATATCATTTAGCAGGGCTTGTCTAGTTAAAAGGCATTTAAAATAGAAATCACACATGATCTATGTCTAACTGTCATTTGTAGAAAATGTGCAACAAAGTGATATGTGGTGGTAACAATTCAGAAGGAAAAGAATATGAAATTCAGATAGCAGCTTGAACGATTTACTGTTAGCATGGGGCCCAATAACACTACAAAGCTATAAACTCTGTCTTTCTAGATTGCCCAGTTAGGTGGCAGAGATGCAATTTGTCTTTTCTGAAGCCTCCTGCTGCTAGCTAGCTCCATCTCCTGTCACAGCCTATTAGCTCCCCAAGAAAATTGGTGGGAAATTGCCTGCAGATTGTAGGAAATTGCATCTCCAGACCCGGGAAAAAATGTAGGATAGCACAACACTGATCCTCCCAGAGCAGCTATTAATACAGCAAAAGCTGACCTTTGGCATGGCGTGAAACGACTTTGCTGAATAAAGACTGTATTATGTGTGGTTGAAGGAGGGAAGGAATTATTATCCTAGCTATGCTTGTAGTCAGCCTGTTCCAGGAAGCTTAAGCATGAGCAGCAGGTTTTGCCCCCGAGCTTATTCTCATTGGAAGATGGGAGAGGACATTTTGGAGTGTTATACAAAAGTTTCATTGTACAGATGGGTCAAAAAATCCATTATGTATTTAAATTATGTTAGTATATATGAACTTCAAAGGTTGAGTGACAAAGCTGAAAGGTAATTTATGAAGCTAATTGCAAAAAAATTAGGTACCTCTGCTCAGTCAAGTCTTGATCAGACTAGGAACAACTTTTTGGCTATTTAATTGTATTTGTATATACGTATTATACTTTTGAATTTGGAGCAGTTACAATGAAAAGGAACTGATTTGTTCTTTAACTGTGAACTGTGAAACGTCATGGGATACACACTACTTATCACAGATTTTAGCATTAAACTCCTTGCTGCTAGGAAGCTCACTTCTGCCATGTTTAAACCAATTCCCATGTGTTCTCTGTGGTGTGATGTACAATGAGTTTCATCCTCTGTCATTTCTACTACAGCTACCTTTCTAATTTTGTACTTGACCTCAGTTTTATAGGGCCTTTCAATAAAAGACTTAACTTTTCTGTGAATTCTGAGAGAGGGGGTATATAGAGTTAGGTTTTTTTCAACATAAAAATAAATGCCAGTATTTTCTATGAGCTTGCAATTGTACTTAGTTGATTCAAAGCCTCCCGAGAAAGATGTGGTTGTGAATCAGAATGGTGTATTGATCAGAAGCGAATATGTGGAGGGCAGCAGCAGCAGGAAAAAACTAATTTTGCAATCCAGGAGCATTGCTGTTTTCAAACTCAGACGAGATCTCTTAGTAACTGGCAGCTGCCCAGTGATCTAAGTGAAACCAATAGGTTCATTTCCTGTTGTATTAGTGTCCACTGTTGTAAATGAGCTAGCAGGGCTTATGAACACTCACACTGCTGATTAGAGAAAATTAGTGGCCTGCCTTATGGAGCCGGGGCAGAGGCAGTAGGGCAAAAAAGGTATTGCACATAGTTCAAAGCGTGACTGAAGGGGATCAGGGGAACTTCATATTGTGGGGCTCTCTGGACTGCTGTTTTGAATTCTTATGATCATGAATGCACACATATGTCAGTCTGAAATGCTAATTTGTTGAGGTGTTAATTTTCTAAATTAGTTATAGCACCTTTTATGGAAGTTATGCAGTTTAGTACTGTGTGTCTTTTCTTGTAAAACACAAATACAGGAATAGAAGAGCTGTGGTGCTTGAGCCTTTATTCTGTACAATAGCGGTTCATCTTCCAAGGTATTACATATTAATTGCATTCTCAAAATAAACCTTGCCATTCAATAACAAACTGAGTTTTTTGTACAGTTCAATACATATATTAGATGAACATTTAGAGGACACAGAAAATCTTCCCTGTCTAATCACTGAATTTGCCTTCTCTTGTAACAACAGACAAACTAAATTGAGTGATACAGTATTCAGAATTTCATTTCTTCTGGCTGATGGCACTATGTGCACTGTTACCTGCATGCGTACTCTGAGGCCAAGCCTCTTACTCTACACAGAGCAAGGAGGTAACTAATCATTTTGTATGAAAGGCAGAAGCTTTCTTTCCATAATTCAAAGCCGCAAGCTCTTGCTTTCCCATGGAAAGAACCAAAATTCAGACTGTGCTGTGAGGAATTTGGAGTACACCAAAAGCTGCTCTGGATAGTTGGTTAGTTTAAAAGAGGACTGGTAGGGGGAAAAAAACAGCTCCTGACAAATCAGTTCTTGGCCAACACTTAATGACTGGAAAAGATGTGCAATAAATAGCACCCTTTATCCTGTAACAGCTGATGAGCTCCAGCAAAAGACAGCACACTAAACTGTGCTTGCTTTCTTTTCCTGTAGTTAGTTCAAAGACAGTTTGTTGTCAGTCTAAGTTCTGGTCAGTCCTAGTTTGGTCAGAACGTGTTTCTCATAATGCATTATTACAGCCAAGAACACATCAGAAAAACAAAATCCAAGTTCTTTAATCAGTCTGATTTTATTTTTTAATTGTACCTTTCTGGGTAATGCCTCTCCCTTGCCACACTAGGAAAATGCAGCTTTTTCTTAACCATTGTTCTTAACAATTTCTGTTCAAATTTCCAATATCCCAGGTGCAGAACCATGAAATTGTCCTAATTTACTGCAGCTGGTGAACATTTATTTCTTAGCTAGTGTCATTTTTTCTAGCCCCAGGAAAATTTTTTACCTATTTTTTTCAACAATTCATTGTACCTGGCATCATATGGATGGTTATTGAAACAATTCACAACTTTTTTCAAGTTCTTCATCAATGGTATTTACTGGGGGTTTAATTTTTATAAAAGATTGTATCTGAGTATTCCTGAATTCTGATAATATCCTTTCTCCTGCACCATACCTTTCTGAAACTCTAGGTGAGAGTAAACCAAAGAAGAATTTTCTCTGAAGAAATAATTTTCTCTGAAGAATCTGACACTGTGAAAAAAACCCCAGAGTTTCTTGGTCCATTTAGCAAAAAAGCTTTTATTTCTGTGACTCTCCCAACATTTTTGTTTTATATTCTATCAAAGATTCAATTTTCTGCTGTAAAAAGGCACTAAAAAAGCATATTGCATAACTACAGCCCTTCTAAAGGCTTTTCATGCAGGGATGGTGTTGGAGTAGGTTGAAATAGGGTGGAGGGAATGAAGATGAAGAGCAAAGCCTCCTTTTTGAACCAACTGAACCATTAGTTGGGAGAGACCAGTGGCCTCCAAGATAGGGCTAGCAAAGATTTGAGGAGCAGAGGTGCCACATTCTGGCGGACCCCTTGTAAAGTTGGTCATGGAGAAATGTAGGCAACAGCATGCACACAGGGTGGTAGCTGTAGTTTGGGTTCCATTTTACCCAGACAGCCCCAATGCTGCTAGAGATAGGACTGGGGCTGGAATGCTGGGCAAGAAGCTGAGGGATGGGAGGTGCAGGAAAGGGACTAATGTTTGAGGACTGCTAGAAGGGTTGCTGGGAGAAATTCAAATGAGAGTGTCAGCAGTGGGGAAATTGGGATCAAAAGACTGTGCATAAATCTCATGTGGATGAGGATAAGCCCCAAAATTTCTAAATAAATAATTTACAACCTCATCATCAAGTATTTTTGGGGGTCTGGGCTTGTCCAAGACAATCCAGGAACAAGTGAAGAAAAAAAACAGGAGTGAAGGGGTTTGTGGGGTGACACCACATCTTCAGTTGGTCATGGCCGCTTCCTCTTGGGGGGTGTCCACTAATTTAGTAGTGAACTTCTCATCTCCCTCACCTCTGTGCAGCGAGCTGCTGTGCAGTGGATTTGAAGCACCTGAGGGGAAGGAATTGCATACTCTGGCTCTGCTGCCTTTCTTCAGCCAGGGCAAAGGATTGTATCTGGGGCTTGTGTATTGGAAAAGAAGGTAACTGTGGATTGGATTGGAAAAGAACATTGTTTTTCTGCCAGCAGGGAAGACTTCCATTTACAGAAGAAGTGGAGATACATTAGAAATAGCACACTTGAGCAGCATTGAAGATGTAACATCAAAAAGGTAAGCCAAGACTTTACTTGATTGAAGATATTTGGGTGGAATATTACAGTTGTGTTGAACAAAATACAGCAAAGCTGGAACACACTATTGGTTGTTCTGAGTTTTTATTAATACCCTCAGGAAAGAAGGCAGTGGAAGAGTAAATAACCAAGCAAATGTTTTATCTGTGTGTTTGATATGTTCCTGAGAAATGGTCTTATCCAACCAGGGAATGGCTACCAACGGGTTAAAGTATAATGTGCTTTTGGCAGAGATTTCGGTATTCTTGTTTGAGACAGCTTAGTTGCAATTGTTCTAATGAAAACAAGCTTTATGTAAGTACCATCAGGGGTCCTCTCTGTTCCCAGGAAAGCACCTTGCTTGTAAGGAATTTCACCTTCTTGTTCAGGAGCACAGTATCCAGAAAAGACTAAAAACACCCAGCGCAAGTATGTTGATTATTAACTCTTGATCAGTCAAGCTGGAGACTTTGAAACTTGAATATATGCAGCAAGAAACAGATCAGGTATTTTTCTAGATGAAGGCTCTGCCTTTTTTAGCATGACATAGCTGTAGTATGACATTATAATCTCCTGTTTTGATGTAATACAGGCCCATGTCACTAAGTGCTGAACATTGTATGGCATTTACCTCCAACAATTAAAAAAATTATCTGTTGGTAATATTACTGAAAATTCTTTGCTCTTTAATTTTTTGAAATCTGATGAATAATATGGAAAACCACTGGTACTGTTCAAAATCATTGTAGCATTGCTAGGTCTGCTACCTTAGAAATCCATGAAAGTGGGTTTTATATTTATGTGACTTGTTATGCTCATGTATAGTGACAGAATAGTGTTCTGGCACGTTGCTTTGAAACGTTTCACAGTATGTACTATAGCAGTGTCTTCCCCACTACACTGCTTTCAAAAGTCAAAGACTTATAATAGCAATTTCCCATGCTTTCATCCAAAGCCTGAAAATGTGCCTCGAGCAAGACATTCAATCAAAAGGAAAACATTGCTAGCTATTTGACTGTCTGTCCAGCTCCTTGGGAGGTAGTTTGCTGCTACGCCAATGTGAAGAAATTCATATTACAAAAGCAAAATGAAAGAAAACAGAAATTAAACAATAAGAGCAACTTCAGCTCTGAGCAATTGTCTGAGTATTCCACAGCAATCAACTTTTCCCTTCTAGAAGAACAGCTTTAATTTGATCTTACTTTCACTGATTTATTTTCTGCTTCAGTTTTGAGCTTTTAAAAGGAAGCATTTCCTTTTTCCAGTGTCTCTAATGGAGATTTGAAGGACCTCTCTAACATCTGTAACTCTTTTTTTTTTTACCCTTGATGTTTGTTTGTCTTGGGGTTGCACATAAGGAAAATATCCAGTCCTGAGGAATCGGTGTGGTGAGTGTGTTGGGTTGGGTTGCTGGACTATTCTGTATGAATGGGTAAATTAGGGCTAACCTCTTTAAAGGAAACTAGTTAAAAATGGTTTTAAATCTCAATCTGCTGGGTGTTGGCAGCTTAGGAGGCCACAGTGGGTAGTATCTGCTTGTACTGGCAGACAGAGCTTTTTTGTCATTTCTGCTAGCTTTGCAATGAATGTCATTTTGTGCAATCAATATGTGCTTGATTTCCTACTGTGAGTGGAGGGAGGTCGTCTCATAACTAACTACCAATTCAAGCATCCAGCGGGAAATCTGTTGGGAAAAACCACAACAAAACCACCAAAACCAAAACCAAACAACTGACTGGAAAAAAGCCTTTCTCTGTAGACCTACTTGCTCCACCGAGGGGAGGATGACACATTTCACAGCCACTGTAGGTCTCCTCTATTATACATCTATGCCAGTCTTTGCTAAAATCTAGTTAATTTTCAGCCAATTCTCTTGTATTTGTCCCATAAAACGACCTAATTTATTCAGTGTAGGCCCCTATCTCCATATATTGTTCTTGCTCCCTAGTGTCTATTCATTACTTCAATAAAACCAAGGAGGAAACATAATCCCTATACTGATGTTTATCTTAAAGACTTCTCACCTCCTGCCAACTCCTTTTCAAAGCTGATTTGCTTAAGACTTGAAAGTCTTAAGCATGAGTATATTTTGCTGAGTATATGTTATGACTTCATGAAAAGAAAGAGCCATAATAGTGGCTGTCTGAAGTCCAGTTGGATTTTGCTTAACTCTGAGAATAGAGATAACAAATATTTCTGGACAACATGTTTCAGTGTCTAGATATTCATATTATGGCTTCTCTGCTTTTTGGGGAGGATTTTTTGATTGGGTGTTTTCAAAATGCTTTCGGGCCAAAGAGATGTGCCTTGTCCTGTCCGGCAGAAATAGCTTTATGGGAAAAATGATTTGTGGACCATTCTTTCTCCTAAGTAGCGGGGGAAAATGGTAATTTTAACTGCTGCATGGTTATGACACAGTCTTGAGTGGGCTGTAAAATAATGTTGTGGTTTTTTCCCCTTTCATTATATGAAGAAGGAATTTTTATCTTAAAAATGCCATTGTGGTTTCCATCCTTGAGAAATATTAAAACACTTCTGTTTATAAATCACTCCTTCCTATGCAGCAGCTGAGATGACTCTACCTTAACTTCAAACACAGGATTTGCACACAGCATTGACTTTATGAAGACAGACTTACTCTTTTGCAGGTGAACTGCAAAAGCACTAGAAAGCTCTTATTGTGCTCAAGTTGTCCTAAAAGGTCTTTGTATAATTTCAGCAATCACAGGAACATTGAAATTAACTTGGAACAGTAGAATGAGCTTGGCTAGTGATAATAATGCAAA